AAATTGGGTTAAAAAATGCATGGAGTGTATTGTGGAAAGAGGGTACAGTTTGTCTTCCTTATAATGGCAAAACCTAATACTGCGTCATACCGAACCCCTGCAAGTACAGGAGTAAGATACGGTATAAGTAGGTGGATAAAGCAGAATGCAAGTGAATAATTGCAGTACCGCAATGCGGGTTGCAACACGAAGTGCGGCCGACGGGCCAGAGTTGTAAATATTGGAGATGCCGCCAGCAACAGACATAAGAAATATTCCGAGGATTATTGTCAGTGAAAACATCCAGTGTTTTCATCTCGTCAGTGGACTGTGTCTTTTAAAAACGCGAAGAGAGACGGAAGGAGAAGATGATAGAGTGGGGGGCGGTGGAGGAGAAAGGGGTGTTAAGAGGAGGGGATCAGGAGGGAGAGATAAAGAGATGGGAGATAGAGGGAGCTGGTTCTTTTAGAAAGGGAAGGTGGAGTGACGGATGGAGAAGATGATAGAGTAGGGCTGAGATGGAGAAATGGATAATAAGAGGAGAGGGTCAGAAGTGGGGGAGAAGGGGGAGTTTAGAGGGTGTTGTGTCTGCCAAATACGGGGAGGGAGGTGGAAGCAGAAAGGGATAGACTGGGACAGGAGGCGGGGAAAGGTGTATTAATAATGGGTAGATTTGAGGGGGTCAGGAGGGAGGGACAAAGAGATGGGAGATAGAGAGGTGAGAGGAGGGGTATCTCTTGTAAACGGGAAGAGAAAGGGGAGAAGATGATATAGTGGGGGCGGTGTTGGAGACAGGGGTGGTTACGGGAGGGGTCAGTAGGGAGGGATAGTGAGATGGCAAAAAACATCACGAGAAAGAGAGAAATAGGAGAGACTGGTGGATAAAAGATATAAAAGCGATAAGAACGATAATAAGGGGTATGGTTGAGTAACAGGACTATGTCTTTTATTAAACCAGAAAACATAGGAGATTGTACAGTGCTGAAATTTAATTGGATAAGCATGATTGAATATAGAATAAGAACACAGCAATAGTGATGTTGAACTAAGGTGAGCGGAAAGAGGGACGGGAAGAGTGGGAGGAGAAAAAAGGAACAAGAAAGAGGGAGGATGAGAGATGGAAACTGGAAAGAGACAGATTAACAAATACACCATCATTTCTAAATACAGTCGCGTATAAATTAGAAAGACAGAATCAGAGATGGAAAGATAAAGAAGATGGTAAGGGAGGGATGAGGATGGGGCAAAATGGAGCTGTGTAGATCCTGCCTGATAGCTGATAGACATGAAGGGGCAGACAATCAATGTGAAGAGAGTAGAAAACCGATTACAAGTGGCATGGTTACTCGAGGAAAAACAAAAGACGGTAAAAATAGAATTCCAATATTCAAATGCCGGGCGCCAATCTAGATGATACCAGCCAAGAGCCCCCGATAGACCTTTAGGTATTGTGTACTCAAGATCTCGAACATTCGTTTTATTCCGCCAAACACATGTTTAATGTCTAGTCGCTGAATACAAGCTAGTTAGGCGTGCTTTGGTTAACTAAACAGAATTAAAATGCAGTGATCTACATATATTATGCCTAATCCACCCCCCGCCGATTAAAACAAAAAAGATGCGCACTGGTATTAAACAGCGTTATGAAAATACCCTACTGACCCTCGCATAGTACCGTTAAAAAGAGTAAGTACGCTGTCGTCCATAACGCTGGGGTTTTCCTTACTTCTTTTCATGAAATTATTGTGACATAATGGTTCATTCTTGATAGAAAGGGTTTTATATCATTTCAGAACTTTCTTGATCAATATAAAGAATCCTAGATATTGATCAGTAAAGATCTTAGAAGATATGAACTTTATCTTTCGATAATAAATAATATTGTCACAGTCGTTGCATGAAAATGGTGAAGAAAAAGAATTCCAACCTCACGTACGGCAGTGTACTAAAACATCAATATGCCACGTCGCCCCTCCCCTAGGTAAAAATTTCTATTTAAAAAAAAAAAAAAAAGAAAAGAAAAGACTACATAGGAAATACGATTTCCAAGGCTGATTCTATTGCAAGTCCGACTGTGACATCCATTATGGTTTCAACTAATTCCCCTTTTTGACCAATAGTAAGCTAAACTTATATTTTTATGTGTGTGATGGGTGTTGGTTGTATAGAAGCAGGGTTATACTTACACTCTCCCAGTACTGGTTATACGATGTCATGTAGCTTTCTTATTAACTGACACACAGAATCAGGACGGGGAGATGTGACAGGAAATGCCACATTTTTTAAAGGAAAACAAAATGTGGTTACAAAGAAAAGCTACATAAACATGCTAAAGGAAAAGACAGAAACAAAACACAGACATTAACACAAAAAAAAACCAAAAATACAATTAAAAAAAAAAAAAAACTCAAAAGTAAAACAAAGAAAATCTCCTGATGCAAAACAAAACTATGAAAGGAAGCTAAATTCTACTGAATAATGATCATGATATGAAAACGAGACTTATTTCAAATTTGATTTAACTAAAGAGACTTTGAGACTGATGAATGACCTAGTGATAACTATGGTATTAGTTCAAGAATGCCCCAATCATTAGGATAGGGCAGGGTGGATTAAGGCATAACGAAGGAGAAGGATGCGAGATAATGACGGTGGGTGGATTGACATTCAAAGAGAGGTAGACCCTTGTCGTTATTTTACGTGCGCTTGCATCTTTCTTGAGCGCTTCAAATATGTTTAATATGCAGAGGATCGTCTTTAATTAAATCAAAATACCCACTCAAGGCGGCTTGTCAATGGCCACACTGTTACGGTCACATTATCGTGACGTTAGGGGCAGTATAGAAGGGTATTTTCTTACACATCAGCGCTAACAGGCGCCATTGATGAAGACGTATAGTGTTTGGTGAGCGGTTGTTGCGTTTGATTGGAGGAATTAATATGGCATTTAAAACTACACTGTCGCCACATCGGGAACACACTGCTTTTCCCTACCAGAGCTTATATACGCTTTGTGTAGAATTTGTCAGATATGGCTTTTGTTGAGTTTCAAATTAAATTAAAAGGCAAGAATTATGAAGAAAAACATTTCAGTGTTCCCCCAGAAATTTGAGAATCAAATCCGATGAACATACATGACCCATTTAGATGCCTTTTTCTAACAAGAAATTATTAATTGAAGTTCACATTAATTAATGATACAACGATACAGACGTTAAAACCCGATTTGATTCGAAGTGAATCACGGCTCAGATAGTTAAGTGTGAGCGCCCTCGTGTTGCAAAATCGAACAGTTTGTTCTCTATGTATGAGATTTAATGTCGGCGGAAATTGAGATTTTTTTTTCCTCCAAATATTTTTTGCCCGAATCTGGGCCTTGTTTCAGAATTTTGTTATCAATAAACAAATGGTTAATTTCTCTGACGATTACACTCTCGGTCAATGAAATGCCACGATTTTAGTAGCTTGTCACAGTTATTGGAACTTGTTATTGATATCAAACTTTATGAAACAGGGCCCAGAACTGAAATGCCATCTTCAGAAGTGCAAACATTTCTGCTATACATTCGAATTACGAAGCTTTTATGCAACGAGTCGAACGGATACGGAATATTAATAATTTAATATGGAATTAATTAATAATCTTATCATAATACGCCGGAACCTATTAAAAGTCCTATATCATTTCAAATCACCCTTGGTATTTACATGACGGTCTCCACAACAGAATGTATACTCCACATTCTTCTTATCTATATATCTATAAAGGCTGTGTAGATAATTCCATCCTCCGACAAAATGTCTTCAACATGTTGGATGGATGGAGCGCTGTACTTTCCTGAGATTTTCCAATATTATATCCTTGGGTATATGTGATGGGATTGAGAATGTCACAATGCCTTCTTGATGGATTTGATTCAGCTTCTTCTTCTATTCCATGCGGGATGAAATTTACGTGTTTACGTGGGCGGAGCAAATGGAAGACCTTTTATTCTACTCTTTTTCATATCTACCATAGATCATAGAGACATTTGTGAACATTAATTTTTGCAATGTCTTTTAAGTGGAATGTTAGTTTTGTTACGATATTTTCATGGGGCTACCTCTTTCATTTGGAAAAGTCCGTCGTTTTCGGCCGTTATTTCCTATCTCTCTTTTTTAAAGGTTATTCCCATGTTTACATGCGTTGCTCTTCTTCGTCTTTGTGATCACGTAAAAGAGAGAGTGGGTATGAATATGTTTGTTAAAGATATTGATCCTTATTTGTATTTCGTCCAGTTTTCTGTCATTTAATCAATGTTATTCGTCATCATGACAACACTTGGCTGTGGAATTGTCTGTGCAGCCACATGCTCTATATACGCATATAATAACAGTTCACAGTTCATATCGCGGTCATTGTTTCAAGAAACCTACACTGTACCACAGTATTGACAACATCAGATGCTGTATAAAAAAATATTAATACTGATTTTAAATAAATATTCTAATGTCATTGCCTTCTATTTTCCACTCTTACTTTCTCACAGTTACTTTGTTCTTCATGATGATTGCATTGGACTGTTGAACTGTGGTATGTGTAGTCACCATAATACTACGCGTTTACCACATACTGTAACCACGGTGAAGGTGAACGTAAATTTGTAATACAACGAACATGGAATAACCTTACTGTGTTCTATATCTTACTTTTGCTTTCTCACAGTAATTCTCTTCTTTATCATGACTGCACTAGGCTGTAGAGCTGTGGTGTGCGCAATCAATTACTACGTATCTACCACAGTGGGAATAAACGTCACATGCCATATAACTAATATCGACTTTAATGTCTTCTATTTCTCATTTTTACTTTCTTGCAGTTACTTTCTTTTTTTATCATGACTGCACTGTGCTTTGGAGCTGTGGTATGCACAGTCATCATACTACGCAGTTACCACAGTAAAATAAACGTCACATGCCATTATAACGAAGATAAACATCGACTTTATTGTCTTTTATTTCTCATTTTTACTTTCTTGCAGTTACTTTCTTCTTCATCATGATTGCATTGGGCTGTGGAGCTGTGGTATGTGCAGTCATCGTACTACGGATCTACCATAGTGGCGGTGAACGCCACATGCCAACGTGGCTCAAATTTATCATCATAAAACGGTTACAGCGCATGCGCAAGAGAAGACATAGTCTACCAGAAGTCGTCACTGCCGCAGAAAAACAACCCAGGGACACAAAGTAAGATTTGACTTGATCTACTAAACTTACGTTCTTCTTCAAAGTTATTACACTTAAAGGGATAGTTGAGTTCTGTTGCAGAGGGCGCTATAATAGTAAAGTTTTTTTTTTGCAAGATAATGAAAAACTGAGTGTCAAATTTGAAAGAACATAATATTTAAATGACAAAACCATCTTTGTTTTTATCAAAGTCGGTTCAGAGACGGCTGAAATATAACGATTTTTAATACTTGTGTACCACCACAAATATAAGGTATTTTGAAAAAATTGGAAAAAACCATTGAAAAAACGAAATAACGCCTTTTACGTTGTATTTCAGCCAATGCCGATGTTGGCTTTTTTGTTGGCATTTTCGTGTCGCTTATATTACGCACAACCAGCCGGTCCATGCATGTATTGTTAGATTTGATTAACAAATTAATTAACGGTCACCAGGTTTTTTTGAAAGTGGAGCTGAATTGGTATGCTCGTATTGGCTAAATGACACATTTTGGGGTAAAAAAAAATTTACCTTCATAGCAATTTCATGTTCTAAAAGGGCACTAGAAATGTCATAGATAAGAATAAGAGCAATATCCATGCACTTTGAAAGCATTTGCGGTCTGAAAACATAATTCAACTATCCCTTTAACAAATTATCGAGGTATGATAATGTCCACTCAGTTAAACGTGCTCTATTCTACATGTATTAACAATCAATTATAACAATATTGAAAGTAAATTGATCACAAATGTATGGCAATCAAATGAAATGACGTATTATTGACGTAACTATTTTCACCCTAACATTTTTACACAGATCTGCTTACAGCACGATTAACGTGGAAGGTCCAAATGGCAAAGGACCCCACATGATGCGCCAGACCAACTCTCATTCTAACTCTCATTCTAACTCTAACTCACATGGTCACAACCATGGTCAGGGCCACAATCACGGCCACAACCATGGCAGCGATAGCGGTGGCGAGGAGGTACACGACAACGAGAACAGCCAGCTGTACGAGCCCAAGCTCATTGACCACAAGCTTAAGATGAAGTCGCGCTTCCATCAACGCGACAACAAGAACAAGGAACTTAACGCCCTGCTCTGGAGGGAGTTCGCGCTCGCCCTCGACAAGGGACTGGGAATCTTCGTGGCGATGATCATCGTCGGTGAATGTCTCTATGTCATGATCATCTTCATCGCCATGCCCAATTGGGACATCATTAACATGAACACCTAGGACTACATCGGCATCGAGTCTGTACGACGATGATGACGACAACGACGTCACTTGAGTATTACCATTTGAGAGACGATAAACGCGCCAATAACTCTAGGAAGAATAGTCTTTGCATGATTGTCGAACACTGGATACATGGAATCATCAATGTGTTGACCGACAGGAGAGGCTAAATTCTACGAGAGAACAATAATTGTCTCAGATAATTATGATCCATTCAAGATCTCATTGCAACTAATAAGAATTGAACTTTTGTAGCGATAGATGGCGCTTTTCCAAGTTGTGCGGTAGTGGTTCGTCAGTCACATGTGCCGTAGGGGTATACAAACAGGCAACCATTCGCACTGTGAAGGAAGTGCATATATACACTGTTGGTCATAATGGTGGAATAATTATTTTTACCCCAATTTATTGAATAATTTTTACAATGATTTATGCCTAACAGATCTAGATAATAGTACACATTCTCAGATTTTATTGAATGACAATTGGGGAGTGTTTGTTTTGCGTGACTGCTACTATGCTAATCAACTAGGGGACCTACGTCCTTAAGTCATAACTGACAGTAATGGGGATTAATGCCTCATAAAAGGGCACTAAGATAGCACATCGACACGGTTTTGATCCTGGGGACTCACAGTAACGAGGCCATTGCTTAGTCAATACATCATGACTGTACGCAGCGGGCGCTAGGGTACGTCGACGCCCCCACAAAAAAAACAAAAAACAAAACAAAGAAAACGCAATAAATTTTCAATAATTCATTGCATTTTTTCCCGACCCCCAACATAAAAAAATCTTCTATGTGGGCATGCCTTGAACCATAATGCATGGCCCTACAGAGGAATTTTTCATGTTGGGGACTGGGGGAAAATGCAATGAATTATTTAAAACTTATTGCATTTTCTTTGTGGGGGCGTCGACGTACCCTAGTGCCCGCTCCGTACAGTCATGATTCATTGGCTAAGCAATGGCCTCATTACTGTGAGCCCCCAGGATCAAAACCGTGTCGATGTGCTATCTTAGTGCCCTTTTATGAGGCATTAATCCCCTTACTGTCAGTTATGATTTAAGGACGTAGGTCCCTAGTTGATTAGCATAGTAGCACACACATGCTTTAGCAGTAACGCAAAACAAACATTCCCCAATTGTCATTCAATAAAATCTGGATCTAGATCTGTTAGGAATAAATCATTGTCAAAATCATTCAATAAATTGGGGTAAAAATAATTATTCCACCATTATGACCAACAGTGTAGATTTATGAAGGGCAATCGCCACAGAGGCGTCACTCCATGGGTAGGGGTTATGGGATGTGGTGGTGACCATCTTTTCCAAATTCTCGTTGCTGAACTAAAAACAAAATTGTTAACCCCCTCCCTCATTCTGGACAAGTGACGCTCTGATTGGCCGCATTGCTTTTTACATGGTATCAATTACATGTATGTTAATCATAAATCAGAATGTCAACAATATTTATAATCCGATTTTGGAGTATAATATAGTCAAACTACGATTCTTCCATGCAATATATAACGCTTGAAAAAATGTGAGCTTTGAAATGATGTAGGCTATTTTTTTTATTGAGATATTTTTTTCTCTCGAATTGTTTGTTTCAAGCGAGTATGCGCTGGACGCAGCGGGAATAGTCTCTTTTTCAAGGGATGGGGGAGGTAGGGTGTGGGTTCATCTCTATTAATTTTCATAGTTTTTCTGGTGGGTAGATCGGAGGGGCGGATGTAGGATGTTGGTGAAAATCATCATAAATTTCTTGCATTTGTCTTTAACACTAATTTTCTTTGAACCAGACAAAGGATCAAATAGATACAATTAGCGATTTTGCATTATGTATCGCTACGCTTCAACTCATATCTTCACATACAATCATGCGACGGGGCACGCAAAAGATCAGAACTACAAAAAATATCACTATACAGGCTTTTTGTTTTATGTTATATTCAGTCTTATGTTTATATCTCGCGTTAAAGTTAGTCTTCACAGAGCATTGGAGGAGATAAAATAATCAATAAAGATAAAGAAGGATGAAGATTAATGTATATTTTAGCTACGTTATAATGCTTTTCAAGTCTACACATTCAAACATAAATAATTAAAGTCTGTGCGAGCCTCACCTCGAAGTAGCGTCAATTTTAGACAAGATCCAATATCAATATCTCGTCAAATACGGGTAAAATCGGGTCCACTAAAATAATGATTGAATACTTAAAAAAAAAAAAATATTATTAGTTGTGTGTGATATGTCAATTTTCTTGTTTATCTGTACGTAATGATATAATTTCATGTCTATTGGTGTTTTAAGAATTATCAAACGTAAAATGAAAGATGTTAAAAAAATTCTGTGCACAGTACTTTTGCTGAATGTCAATGAACGGGGCCAATTAATCGGTACTGCACAGTGAATGTTTTTATATAATTTGTTGTTATTTTTTAAACTCTGATGTATAGGATTTGATAACCAGAGCTTCTAGTCATAAACGGCGTTGAATTCAGCATATTCAATAACATCGTTGCAATAACATTACTATCGCTATGTTTACTCCTAGTAGATTGATCATTCACAAACGAAGTCAAATTTAGGGAAATCTTACATTTGAGGTGACATACCCCGTGTCATGGGGGGGGGGGGAGGGGGAGATGTATTGTTTTAATAGTTATATTTTGACGATCGGAAAAGCAATCAATAAAAAACAAGGGTGCAGTACTATATAATGTACAGGGGTGGGATTTATCATAGTATCTTCTTTGTTTACCCTTCTTGTTCTCTTCATTTCTTCCTCTCTCTCTCTCTCTCTCTCTCTCTCTCTCTCTCTCTCTCCCTCTCTCTCTCTCTCTCTATTTCTCTTCCTCTCCCACTTCCCATATTTATTGAGGGTCATGATAAAGGAACAGAGCATTGTTGACCTAAATGTATACTCTAAAACGGAACAATCATGTGCAACCGTGATCTCCGTTTCTTTCACCAAGTAGAGCCAAAGACGCCTCCTCATTTTGTCTGAGGTTTACCTGCCATGGCAGTTTCAGTTTTCATTTTGTACTCAAATAATGATTACTTATGAATTTGAATTCGTTCGTGAACATGTCTTTTACATACATTATTGCGATGTATATCGATAATTTTTTCATAATGTGGACAAATTTTCTATGCATGTAAATACATGAAAATTATTTCCTTCCTCCTGACTATGAAAGCTTATCTTGCGAAAACTCGGATAAAAAAATGAAGTTCCCCTCCATTGGCAACCAGCAAGTTACAAAGTGCGATGTTAAAAGGAGAGCTGATTTATTACACATAAGCAGTGTTCCAAAATGCCTACTTGAACGTACGAGGTCAGCTTGAGGTGCAATAAAGAAAAAAAGGTGGAATATTTTACCTCTTTTCAATAAGTACATGTTATTATCAGTGCTATACAAGGATTGAATCTGGTTTGATTATCTTTGGTTAAGATTGTACCACGTGTTTAAGAACTCCAGAAGAATATACACGTAGGTATATATAGAGGGATTTTAAAGAAACAAAAACAACTTATTATTTTCATCTTAGTTCCACTCAAAGCGACACATCGAAGAGTTGCTTTTCAAATCATCACATTTATAGCTTCCACATTTTACCACCGATCCATATCTATTACATACTTGCGAGTGAATAAATAGTCATTTGAATGCAGTCTCATGTAAAATATATCGCCTCTTAAAAACTTATCTATTTCAGGTGTATGTAATTTATCATAAAGCATCATAATATTGTAGAACTGTGATAATTTACCAAAGTGTATGTTGGAATCGTATTAGCGATTTGCAAATAAGATATGACTTGTATAGTATGTATATTAAAGAAACAAAATATTGTACATAGTTTTGTAATGGACAGAATATGCTTAATATTTCAATGTTGTCAATATTTTCCCTTTCATTATTTTGTTTTCTGTTACCGCTTTTATATGTTGACTTTCTTCTCTATATCCAAATCCATCCTAATTCACACAAAGTTATTTCATAGGAACTATAATAACATGAATGAAGATAGAGACTGAACATGCGTGACCACCAAAACAATGCGTTCAGGATAGGGAATGTTTAGTAGTTTTCTATAAAAAAATATCCTAGTTTTTATGCACGAATAGCCCCACAATCTAGGTCTACTCTTTGAAATGTTATTGATTATAAATCCCAAAATGCATCAGATATGAAGGTATTCAGCTTTGTTTTCTTCTTATTTCAGTGTGGAATGCATTCGTGTTATTTAATGGCGTAAACTTGTGGAGTAATCAAGTACCCGTTGGCTCGTCAACTTTATATTAAATCATCAATCAGGGTCCCGCAGCATAAAAATTACCATTGATGTAACTTTCATGGAAATCTTGATTCGATTGACTGTTGATGTTGGTTGCCATGGTAGTTTGTTGATACTGATGTCAAAGTTACCATCAATGGTAAGCTTTATGCAAAAGGGCTCGGGAATGTATGAAAATGTATATGTTGCAAAGGTGTTTGCTTTTTTCATTTTCGATTTAGCCATCAATGGATGGCTTGAATAAGACAATCATTTTAGCAATTCACACAACTGAATACCACAAGGATGGAATAACATGTTATCTAATAACTATTTGAAATATTTCTAAACTGATTATACATGGCACTGCATGAATTGCATTGACAAGTTTGTGATACCTAGTTTCAGATAATATAATAGCATCAAACTTATTTGCATCACACTTTTGTCCCATGTATACATGAATGTTTACTAAGCAGTATTTCAGTATTTCTTTAAAAGTAGTATGTTTACCAACTCGTTTTACATACTAAAAGTACACATATTGATAATTGTATTAGGGCAACATATAATAACTTAGCTTAAAAAAATCTATATAGGCTTGTTTTTCGCGTTTTTATCTCTAAATTTATTTATTTAAATTTATAGTATATTTTAGACCGTTCTTTCATTCCCCTCCTAAGGTGAGATGTTCAGTTAAGATAATTGATATTACAATGTTTACTATCTATTTTAATTTCGTCTATATCGATTGCTGATTTTTGTATTAGCATGTCGGTGATGTTTCAAATAAATCAGGATGTTATGCTATGTCATCTACTTGGATCAAATGTCAATAATATTAGTCTGATTTTATGATTATCAATTGATTGTTTTTCTTTGCGTTGACGAAAAAAAATCAACATATACAATACAGTGCAAGAATGAGAATATAGAATCCCAACATATTATGTTGAATTCATTGCAAATACACTCGTTTCCATATGAAATGCCTATTTTTTTCTAATTAAAGAGCAACAAGTACCAATCTTACTTTTGTATCCTGTTCGAAGAAGGTATATTCAGTTCGAAAAATCTCTAACAAGCAAACAAGCAAACAAAAGAAAAATAGAAACGAATAAAGGTTAGAATAGTAATGGGCATGGTTATCACAGTTTGAGTGTATTTAGGAATTGATTAACGGATGGGTACTCAGCTCAGATATGCCATATTAGGTGTGACGGGGGGGGGGGGGGGTGGAGGGCACGCAGCCCCGTGCCCCTGGATCCGCTAGGGGGCAAGAAAGTATAGATTTACTAGATGTATCGAAGAAGACAGTACTCAATGCTATGGGCCTGTCACTACTGAATATCAAAGAAAGATCAGTTTATTTTTTATCCTAAAATAGGCCTCTATAAGAATTCATAGCATTCATAAAAGCTGACCTTATTTATTCATATAAAAGACATTAAAGAACAGAACATTGAACTATCATGATTACGTGTAGAGAGAGAGAAAGAGAAAGAAAGAAAGAGAGAGAGGGTGGGAGAGAGCACATAATTATAAACCATTACACTGTATAATCATAAAATTTGATAAAGATCAAATTAGGTCATTCAAACTTCATGTATCAGCATTATTTTCTATCGTCTCTTAAAGAAAGGGGGCGTGGGAGAGGTGATTACGTGCAGCAGAATCCGTACCGTACCCATAAAGCAACAACCCTCCAAATGTTATTATTTACAAACACGATAATCGGATCAGCGGTCCAATACCAAAGTCCATATTTTGACATACAAATATATATGACCGGCATGCGTAGATCTTATGAGTGCATGGGTATCAAGATCATCGTATATAAAAATCGGTTTATTCGCTTTGTCGTTGTCACTTTGATTTGTTTGTGCGGCTTCTGTGACGGCCTCATCATACTCTTCTAACACTGATTTAAAGGGACTTTTGAAAATCAAGATGGCAGATATCCAGGATTCAAACCCAGATATATACCTGACCGTCCCTCCACAGAAAGGGGAAAGGAAGCCCGGCCAACTAACTAATGCACAACTCAAACAGTATTTTGAAGAGGTTGGTATTTAGTATTTAGTTAGTGACGACCTCAACTGTTGTCCACTTGGTTGTTGAGTGTGTTCTTTTCTCGTTACTTGGGAGCTATTGTCTGCAGGCGCGGATCCAGGGGGGGGGCCGAACGGGCCTTGGCCCCCCCCCCCCCGCAAAAAAAAAAAAAAAAAAAAAAAAAAAGAGAAGAAAGGAAAAGAAGGGAGAAAGGGAAAAAGGAGAAAAAGGGAAAGAAAGAAGAGGATGAAGAAAAGAAAAGGGGGAAGAAGGAGATCGGGGGGCCGAAAGGGCCTTGCCTCCCAGGCTGTTAACTGTTAATAGTGACTTGCCAGTGTCACAAAATAATAAGGTATACACAAAAATATGCTCATCTGACCTTAATTAAACGCCTAAAACCCCTGAGCTTCCGGGGCCGGCTCCGCCGCCTCGACCCCACCAGGGGCCCTAAGGCGGGCCCCTGAATGCTTATCTGACCGTAATTTATCGCCTTAAACCCCTGAGCTTGCGGGGTCGGACAAGGTATCAAGATGTGTTTATCTGACCGCAGGCGCGTAGCCAGGGGGGGGGGGGGGCGGTCCCCCCAATAGGAAGAGGACGTAGGAAGAAAAAGGAGCAGACAAAGAACATATTTGATATTCAGACAAGGATTAAGAGTATAGAGAACGGTACAACGCTTCGTTTTCTTTCTCTAATAATACTACGTCAAAGCCTCGCGCAGGAGGGGAGGTGGGTGGGGGGGGGGGCTGAATTCAGACGAGCATTCAGAGGCGAGAACGGTAATACGAATCTTTAATGATTTAATGAAACGTAAAAGCTTCTGCGCTTCGCGAGGAAAAGGGGGGAACTGAAATCAGACGAGGATAAAGAGTCGAGAACGGTACAACGAATCGTCTTCTTTCTCTAATGATTTAATGAAACGTAAAAGCTTCCGCGCTTCGCGCGGAAAGGGGGAGGGGGGAACTAAAATCAGACGAGGATAAAGAGTCGAGGACGGTAAAACGAATTGTCTTCTTTCTTTAATAGTTTAATAAAACGTCAAAGTTTCCGCGCTTCGCGCAGGAGGGGAGGGGGGGGGACTGAATTTAGACAAGGATTAAAAGTCGAGAACAGTACAACGAATCGTCTTCTTTATCTAATGATTTAATAAAAGTCAAAGCTTCCGCGCTTCGCGCAGGAGGGGGAGGAACTGAATTTAGACAAGGATTAAGAGTCGAGAACTGTACAACGAATCGTTTTCTTTCTCTTATGATTTAATGAAACGTAAAAGCTTTCGCGCTTTGCGCGGAAGGGGGGGAACTGAAATCAGAAGAAGATAAAGGGTCGAGAACGTTACAACGAATCGTCTTCTTTCTTTAATAGTTTAATAAAACGTCAAAGCTTCTGCGCTTCGCGCAGGAGGGGGGAGGGGGGACTGAATTTAGACAAGGATTAATAGTCGAGAACTCTACAACGAATCGTCTTCTTTCTCTAATAATTTAATAAATCGTAAAATTTTTCGCGCTTTGCGCGGGAGGGGAAAAACTAAATTCACACGAGAAATATTTTCGAGAACGGTACAACGAATCGTCTTCTTTCTCTAATAATATAATGAAACGTCAAAGCCTGGGAGGGGGAAACTCGCCCCCCCCCCCACCGCATTACGTCACTGTTGGTCACCATAACGTACCCATATTTGGCTCGCATAATTTCAAATTTGGGCCCCCCCCCCTAAAAAATCCTGGATCCGCGCCTGATTGTCTGATATACGTAAGGTGCTCTGTTTACTGTCCTATTTAGTGAAAGTAGTAATATATAGTAATAGTAGTAGTAGTAGTAGTAATATATAGTAATAGTAGTAGTAGTAGTAGTAGTAGGAGGAGGAGCAGTAGCAGTAGTAGTAATAGTGAAGTAATAGTCCTAGTAATAGCAGTTGTGTATGAATACACAGTAGTATACTATATTCGTTGAAATATTATACTTCGACAAGATAGCCCACGGAAGCCTATTACCCATAGGGTCCTCATACTATTCCATTGTAAAAGTTGAAGGAAACCTCACCCCAAAGTATAAGTATAGGTATTCTGAAAAAAAAGAAATATTCCTGTCCTTTGATGTACAATATTCCTTTCGAAAATATATAAGAGATATTTAAATGAAGATATTCTTGGCATGATGTGATGCCTTTTAGCAAGGCATGGGCGCAGCCATTTTCTTGAAAATATGACGTACCAGGTGAAGTTGTACCTGTATCATGCACCAATTTTAGTTAGAAAGACTTTTAAAATCAATAACAAAACCCTTACTTTTCAATGAGGAAAATCATAGCTGAGGAGAAATTATATTTTGTGAAAAATATATAACAGGGGAACAATTGCAACTAATCCATTGAAAGATACTAAAATATAGCAGTTGACAAATGTTTTAATTTTGTAGAAACCTTCACATCCAGAAGAGTACAACTTATTATTCAATTTGCGTTCTAGCAATTGTAATGCAAAGGATAATAGCAGGTGAATTAAATGCTTCATCATCACACGCACCTGGGAAAGAAGCATCCATAAATTCGAATACATTTACTTGATAAACGACTTCAGTACCTCACGTTATCGAGAAACTGTTGATGCCCATGTCGTGGTGAGAAATTGTACATTATTCTTGCTTCATGCCTCTCTCACTTATGTGAAGAATCTTGTAGAATCAATGGGCAAGAACATAATACATCTCTCAGAATAAATAAAGTTATTTTGGGGTGTGGTTTCCTTTAATCATCTACGAAGTGAAATCCATCACATGAGCGGAAACATTATAAAAGGTTCAATTGATAATAATCATTACTTCGAATGTTTCCAAGCATTGGATTTTGATAAACTTGTCCAATCAAAGTTTGACCTTTGCAATAATGACAATAAAGTTAGTTTTTAAAAGCAATGAACATTCTCTTTAAAGCAATGTATAATTGTATTCAATGAACATCCATCTATTTTCTCCTTCCCTCAGGGTTGCCTCTTGGTACCAGATTTCTTCAAACCCGAAGAGCTTGACCCAGTCCGTGAAGGAGTAAAATCCAGTGTAGATGACATTGTAAACAAACTCTACGATGCAGGCAAAATCAAAGGTAACATTGTATTCTTATGCAAGATTCAAGAGACTAAGAGAGAGAGAGAGAGAGAGAGAGAGAGAGAGAGAGAGAGAGAGAGAGGTTAGGGGTAGCTACTGCTTAGTATCTGCATTAAATTATAATTACTAATGTTTGTTTTTATTTTTCTTCCGGAATGACTGCTCACATGACTGCGTATTAATTGAGCAGCTCAATCATAATCCATATGGTAACCCCGTCAGTCATGAACAGCCTGATATTAAGGGCAAATGACAGATTCTACCTTCCTTATTATTGTGTGTATCATTGTATTCAGATTCCATGAAAGTGATCCGGACGAATCATAATAAATTATGCTGAAGAAAACAAATAGCCATAAATGCCTGACCGAAGTCTAGAGAAAATGTTATGTTTACCGTGTAATAGTTCGGGGGCGTATCCATAATGACCCCGCGACTCCGGCAAAAATGATAAAAAGGGGGCGATGAACCAACTTGATATATCTTAGTGGTTCTGTTTAGATTGTTTTTGATGTTTTAACATTTACAGATTTAAAGTGAACACAATGTGTATCAATGTGCTTTCATTCTGAACCGAATACAATGATACAAAATTAAGTGAAATTGATAATTTTCAGACTTGCATAACATCAAAGTAAAGCAAACATTTTGTAATTGTATTTATTATAATTTATTTCCTTCTCAACAGTACAATGTGAAACACAATGTATATATACATGATATGTGTAACAATTATTTCAATATAGAGTATACAGTAAATAATTCAGATACGGAACATGATGTAAAAGCCAGGTAAAAGACAACCCTTTCTCCTGGCAATAATTAATTGGTAGAACACTTAGCTTCATATCCGTCTCCGTTTTCCAAATATACTTTTATGCTAGACTTTTGACTTAATCGAAGTATTTTAACTTATTTCCTCTCTTTTCACCTCTATCTGATATTCGCTTTTATGCCATGTCTTAGACAAGTACGAGAATGTCGACCTGTTTCAGCGGATGACGTGTGTTGAGAAAGAGTTCCCTGGTGCGGCCGTACTTCTACACAAAACTGGGAGCCTTCCGCGGGTTAGTTAGAAAGGAAATCCTCTCCCCTTTTAAATTGTTTTCCTTCTAAAAAGCTCCTAAATGGCAACTCAAGATATCTCAACCGGGAGATGGCACATGACTGTGTCTGAAATTTCATGACAATTAAAAAACAAAAAACAAAAAACAAACAAACTTTTTCTAAATTTTTCCGGAAAGTGTTGCTGGTAGTGGGGGGTAGGGTAGTTACGTTCACCCTCCTTAAGCGTGATGCATTTTATTATATTTTACATTAATGATATGACAGATGTGGTTTGGCCAGGGGTGGGGGAAAGTAAATCCATGTCTTCTAACAAGCAGTCAGAATTTGGGTCTGTGAAAATGTACATCAGAAACTTGATAGAATCACGGTCTTCTTACTTTCAACATCGAGATTGATTGAGCTTTATATTCTATCATTCCTAACTATGGCAGAGTTTCAAAGATCTGTGGTCAGATGCGAGGTTGCTCAATGTGATGGAACAGCTGATTGGACCGAACATTGCTGGACATCCCGTCTGGAATCTACGCGTCAAGGTGAGAAAAAAATTAATAAAGTTATATTAAGACATAGAATTATTGCTGTGAAATGTTCATCAGAGTATATTCATATGCAATCATCAACATTGAAATTCAATTATGCATACAACAACTTTAAGAAGGAGTTTGTCGATCAGTTGCTTGCATGGACCTGTTATAAGGCATAGTCTTTTTAGCTAATGAAATTGCCGACACCTTAAATTTCAGTATGGTCCAAGCATATTTCTTATTATCATTCAGGACTAAAGGCCGAGGTTGTGACATCTATCTTTAATTTGTTTTCTTTAATTCTGCAAAAAAAATTCTTGTTATAGACACCCCAGAATGAAGAAGCAGTCGTCCCTTGGCACCAAGGTAAGTTTCAATAATAATGATTAAATGGTTCTAGGACACTTACCCCTTGGATAACCACCCTGAGACTAGCCACTCCTATGATAACCACCCTCTAGGACGACTATCCCTCTAGGAAAACTACCCCCAGACAACTACCTCTAGGACAACCACCCTCCAGGACAACTATCCCCGGGCAACTTCCCCTAGACAACTACCCCCTACGATAATCACCTTCTGCGACAACTAGCCCCGGGGATAGTTGTCCGGGGTTAGTTGTCCTAGAGGATGGTTGCCCTAGGGGGTGGTTGCCCAAAGGGGGTAGTTGTCTGGGGATAGATGTCCGGGAGGTAGTTGTCCTGGAGGATGGTTATCTGGGGGTGGTTATCTGGGGGTGGTTGTCCAGGGGGTATGTGCGCGAATAGCGCGTCCGGATACGGATTTAAATGCATATAATGTAATTTCCGACTTTTGGCAAACGTAATAATGCAACGATGTTTGTATGCAGAATTTTGTGCTCCACTTGAAGTACTTATATTTATTTTTTTTATTTTAAAAATCTTTTGTTATATATATTTTTTAAATTAATTATTCAGTCATTCGTTAATCTATCTATCCTCTGATTCTAGCTATCTATCCATCCAGCTATTGTCTATGCAGTATGCACATATAATGATGTCTCTTCGCCCCCTCGCTTAATGTTTGCAACTTGTTATAAACAAATTACTCTCAATACGCACAATACAAATACAAGTTATAAACATATTCCTGACACTTTGGATGTATCCATTAGTGTTCTCCTCTATGGTATAGCCCCTATATAATATTTATTTATATTTTTATTACCAGATAACGCGTACCTTGACCCTAGCGCCCTCAACGTACTTCAAGTGACAGCCTGGATACCTCTCCTTGATGTCACTGCTAAGAATGGTTGCATGCAGGTATAAGTGACTACGCCCCTTTGTATTTAATTGCCTCAAAATAAGGTAGCAACAGCCAATCAAATGCACCGATTTCGGTATCTTTTATCAATTACTGTTGCTTGATAGATCGTTTAAGGTAACGGGTTTTAGGAAACGGGGCACGAATACATTGTTATCTATAACATTAAAAAAATTTAAAAAGTCAATTTGAGCATGCAGCATTTTATCATCATTGGCTATGTGATTGGAAAATATAAATGAATCGTATCATATGGCCAATACTGACCTTGAAGTAACATATGTTTTCCTCTGTTATTATTGGTGTCAAAGAACAAGATAGAAGCCTCACCTTAATTTTGATATAAAACTTTACAATAAATTCAGGTTGCTCGTAAGGGTCATAGGAAAGGGGTGACGGCCAAGCACCGCTGCTGTGTGGGAGGCACGTGGTACGTCGAGGTCGAGGTCGAGGACATGGTAGAAACACTCGGCGTCGATATGGACAAAGACCTGGTCACATGCGATATGTCGTATGGCGGCGTCCTCTTCATGAACAATTGCGTTCCGCATCGCAGGTATATGATTATTCAAGAAGAAAAAAATGTGCCCCCCTCCCCCCCGAGTCAAGTTTTCGAGTTTTCGACCCCGAAGTCACCTGATAAAAGTTTTCTAATTTGTTGTTTTATTTTTGATTTTGCTTGTTTACTTGCCAGAGATTTTTTGTGTAAATATTCACTTCAAAATCTAAGAAAATACCTCGAAAAAAAGAAGAAGAAATGTGTACCCCACCTTGTCAATGCCCGACTAAAAGAGCACCTGAAGAAGACTATTTCGGTCTAGGATAAGACATTGGTAGTACAGAAACAATTATCCGACGCCCCTTCTCAAAAATATGAAAATAAAATCTATACATATATATCCAGACATGCATGTTGTCTTGGGTACTCAAAAATAATGATCGTAAACCTGAAATAAGAGTAAAATTGTGAGTTTCATATATTTATAACTTTTTGTGTGTCACGGTGTGTGTGCGTGTGTGTGTTAGGGGGGGGGGGGTTGGGTTGGTTACTTGCATTTCTTTCCCCCTCTCTATATTTGTCTCTATATGTCTTTTTTGTTATAGAACGTAGGGGGGGGGGGTCAGAAAAATTTAATCCGTCAATCTAATTTGTTTTCTTTTTATAATTGCATCAGTCTAACCAACTTGTCCAACAATATCCGGTGGAGCCTCGATCTGCGCTGGCAGCGACCCGATAAACCAAACGGTTTCTACGGGATCAAGGATAGTGTTTTGATGAGGACAGAAGGCGATCCGAACTACAAACCAAATTGGGATGAGTTTGAAAGTACCGATCACCATTCTGTCGCTAAGGTAAGTTTCGAGGCAAAGAAATATAATCTAGAAAAAATATGATCATGGTATTTAATAGAGATTAATATATAAAAATTAATGAATTTCAAATCACATTTGAGTTCCGTTGATGATTAAAGCAGAACGAGATGAACTGAAAATTTTTAAAATTCAAATTCAAAATTTAAATCACGAAAATGGGACTATCGACATTTTTGTATACCAGAATCACATTATCTCAAAAGTCTTGTAAGGTGAGAATCACCGTCTAAGTCGTTAACTCTTTTCTCTTGCAGGAAGCCTTCAGTGAAGTAAAAGATCCCAATGTGGAGATTAAAAGCGATGACGTCGATTTCGATACCACGATTACGGGACCATGGATGCAGCGATGGGAACTAGTCTTCCACAACAGACACACCCAAAACTTTAAACCAGATGACGAGTTTAATTGGGTGAAGGCTTAGGGGTCCTACAAAATAAATAGTCTGTCCGATATTCCTTTCTTTTCCATATACATCATAATTTGCACAGACCTGAAGTATGACTACAAAATATGCCCCCCCCCCCTCTTTGGACAAGACCCATAAAATGAGAGCTAGGATTTGAAACACAAGTTGGGGCTAGATATAGATATCAGCAATAAGGCTTATATACTGCATAATCCTTGAAGTTCTCTTGGAAATTGTGTGACTTTAAGGACATAACTGACATAGGAAGGGTACCTAAATAATTCATAAATATCCAACCCTGTCATAAATCCATCTTTTAAACTTGAAGCTTGCAACAATAGCAGACTACAATCATCCTGGTATATCGGGAAACGGTGGTATTCCCCGGGTGGTATATAAACCATCAAACCCATCATTAGGTAGATATTCATTTATAAGGTCGTTCCCCTCTCTCGTTCATCGTTCGATATCACCCTTTAACTATTTGAATATGCGAGTAGCCTTTATCTCTATTCTCAATCTCCTCATCTTAACTTTTCGTCTTAACATCAACGTTAATTTAAGCAACTCTCTTTATATATATATATAGGTAGAATTGTGATATTGAAACAACGTGGGTTGAGAGTCGAAAGAATATTGAAAACAAACCGAAGAAAAAGTTAGGAGGAACGGAAATAGTTGCTAGAAAAAAATCGTTTAAGTCAATAAGTGCAATAAGTCAGTTTGATTGGATATTGCAACTGTGTTCTATATGAGAAGAATATATTTTCTTATTTTTGTATTACATATAGTCAGAATTATCATAATGAATATTTACAAATGTGTTTGATGTGCGAACGGAGTTTCGAAAAATGAAGAGTAAATTTAAGTTCGATAGCCAGGGAAACGCCAAGCGTTGTCTCGTTTGCATCTCGTAAAGCGAGTGAAAACGCATTACACATTTACATGACTTGTATGAAAATGATGCAATTTCAAGCCTTCGTTCAGGATGTGAATTTTAGTTCTGGCAGTTTACACTGAGAACTAATGGTACATATATGTTATGGTTGTAAAATGAGAGAAAAACATTGATTAAGAATGCTGTTAATACTATCTCAAACTTCAGTGTATCATCTCTTAGATGTTGACCCAAGATGGTCTTGAACCTCTGATATCGCGTGTGCTTTTCACTGAAAGTTCATTGACCTGTTGACCTTTCATCCTAGTCAAACTTGACCTGTGGTTTGAAATTGGTGATCCTACCTCAAAGCTATAGAAATTGATGACGAGTACAGCATTATTTTTGGACAACTACAACGACGACGACGATGTTATCTCATAGCAAAACACAAAATCTTTGGGCGATCCAACTTCACAGGTTTTCGCACCTTCAAAGTCCCGCATATAATCTTTGTAAATATAGTTATAATCTACTCTTACCTTTTTATATTTTTATATTGCGAAATAAATTGAATTGAATTAAAAATGGAATACGAACCAATGTCATAACTTGTTGAAATACAAAAGTACGACAGTGTGCTTGTTTCACATTCATAAACACATTCGAGAATGTAGTGACGTGAAAAATGTCATTTTCTGCTCTTTAATCCACAAATGAATTCGAGAGAAGGGAAGCACACAAAATATTGACATAATACAGGAATTTCTGTCAAAATTCTAATCTAATATTTCTATCAATAATAGTTCTGTTGATCAAAAAATGCATTGAATAAAAAACTTTTATTCCGTACACAGATAAATAACTATATGATAAAATTATAATCACTTGAGTTGTTCTTATTTGTCAAGCATCGTAACTTTGTACAGACATGTAATCTCTCTATTAATAGGCTCTCTAATAATTAATTTGCAATTGTATTGTATATATCTTTGTGAAATGGATCGCAATTCAGCCATTGGCTGCGATGATCTTTTTAATAAAAACCATTTCTATCTATTCTATCTATCACCACTGGAGACTATAGCATATAATCTCAGTGTATAATAATGGAATTCTATTCACTGGTAACATCTATTTCTATTTCACCATGATTCGACTGTAACATTATATTACTAGTATTATATTTAGCATTGATGCACACCAATCTCAAACTCCTAATATTCTTGATATTTCAAATGATTAGAAGCAACCTTTGTTATCATATTATTTCATTCACATGTCATTATTAGATTGATTTTCATATATGAAACTAAATCATTACTTTTACATATTATTAGTGAATGTGAAAATTATAATGTGAAACAGAATATACCATTGTGAGATTCTCCTCATTATTCTCTCTCTTTCTCTTCTCTCTCTCTCTCTCTCTCTCTCTCTCTCTCTCTCTCTTTCTCTCACTCTCTTTTTCTCTCTCCCTCTCCTACCCTAGAAGTATTTGGGCCATTTGAATGTAAACCCCCTCCCCCTGCGACTACGCCTAGGATCTCATAAGAAGTAGACATACGTCGGTTCTGGTTTACTGCTGAATCTCTATATATCCAGTACCCATTTTTCATTTGAGACAAAGTTTCTTATTTATTATAAAATGAGAAATATTATTTAATGTTTACAATATCCTGAGAATCTCTCCCCCCTATATTTATTTATCAATTATTATTGTCATCATTATTATTATTTTTTTTTTGGGGGGGGGGGGGGGAGGGGCGTGTTAATGAGGTGCCCCCTCAGCCCCAAGCATAGCCACACCTCTGATCTCATCAGTAGTAAACATGCGTAGATTCTGGTTTACCGCATTGTTTAGCAAGGTTATCCGCAGACAGAATCTCTATCCAGTAGCCGTCTGGATCCTGAATGAAAGCCATCCCCTTCATCGGGCCTGAAAAGAAAAGAAGCAGTAAAGAAAAAAAGATGAGTGATAGAATAAAGGGAATAAAAGAAATGAGACGAGAGACATAGAAGACAGCGTTGAGGGAGAAAGATGAAGTAATAACAGGGATTATTGAAAACATGAGAAGGATAGGCATACAATTGGGTTTGTAAAACATACGAGTCCCACAGTAGGATTATAAATAGATGAAGATGCCTAGCGGGAAAAAAGAATGCAATCAACGATTTAGCGTCTGACAAAATTCAATCGATGAAAAGCGTTTACAATTATGAGTAATTGAATTTGTTCAACATCATAAAGAAGGAATGAACACCAAAACAGATATAAAAATAGACCAGGATGCGTAACGAATGGTGATTTAATAATGTCCACGACTTAATCTTGTTTTTGATTTACTTAAAATGGTAGGAAATTACCTTCATCAGGCTTCATGACAAACTTTACTCCTTGCGTTCGGAATCTTTCACATGCAGCATACACATCTGGTACAGACAATCCTATATGACCTGGAGATAGGAAAAGAAAGAGATGTTATTGTATCCATTCGCGTTGATCAAATCATTCAGTACTACTGTTATTTTCCAGTATACAAAATGGTACACATAATTATATCCGAATCCGATATCCATATTTCTTTACATTCTCAAGTCAAGCATTTATTATAAAATCTAGATTATATATTCAATTTGATTTTCAGAAGAGAACTTGAGAATAGTCATTGAAATCTTTACTTACCGAATCCCTGGGGTTCTGTATTTCCATTATGGTAACCTGTAAACGTCTCGTCTGTATCAGTGCCATAGATACTACAGGGGGAAACGGAGAGAAAAATACTGCCCATTTTTCGGAAAACGAGATGGTTTATGCTGGCATACTGGGTACACACTGAAATTACCGTCGTAATTTTTTGATCATCAATTTGTTTATTCCTTTCCAATTCGATTTCGATTTATATATCGGCATGAGGTACGAAGCACTTTCTTTCCGACACGAAAAAATGACCTAGTTACCCATGCACCCATTTCTTCTTTTCAAAACAAACAATCACTCTTACTATCTGAGCTCGATGGTGGCGGGTTGCATAAAGGTCCATCTTATTCTCTTCGTCTCATCTTTTGGGATAGCTGACTCCTCGGCGTAACCAAGGAAGAATAAAGAAAACTTCCTCTCAGGGAAGTCCAGTCTCGTGAATAATCTGAAGATAAACAATGAATCGAAGTTCATGTATTTAGATTGATTATGATAACACCAATGCCAAAATAATACAGACAGCCTAAGCAACAATAGCGGATCAAACATTGTCTGACTGGGTGGGGAGGTGAGGGGGGGGGGGTGGTACGATGCAGGCACGTAGCCAGAGTTTGATGTTGTTTTTTTTTTTTTTTTTTGGGGGGGGGGGCACATACAATCATGTAATCGATCGAGGTAAAAAAAAAAAGGGGTCTAAAAAAGTGAAAACGATCTTGGAAATTTAGGGGGGCACGTGCCCCCCCCCCCCCGTAGCTACGTGCCTGGTACTATGTTAAAAAAATCTGTTACGATACCATTATAGCAGACGAAGAAACAAATATAATATTATTAAACAAACAAAAATCAGATTTTGCCCTTTTTAATCACGTATAACTGAAGTTATATATACATGTATGTATATTTTGCCCCGATTATGCACTAAAAGGTTAATGCTATATATAACATGTAGTTTACTACCAACCTCATACCCAGCACACGAGTGTAGAAATCGAGAGATTTGCGAGGGTCCTGAATGCGGAACATTGTTTGCTGCATGATGAAACCCTGTTTGTGGTAAAAAAAAAAGGGTAATGCAAAGTATTCAAATTAGACAGTGTTTAAACAAATGTCCCGCGACTATTTATATGTTCAATTTATTCACATTCATTGTTTACATTCAATATGTAAAAATATGTAAGAGAGAGAAGAGAAGATATTGAGAGTGTGCGAGACAAAGCTAGAAAATAATAAGAGAGAGAGAGAGGGGGGGGGGGGGGGGGGGGGAGAGAGAGAGAGAGATATTTCGCATTTTGTCTGACCAGTATATAGGCCTATGACCGCCCCGCCCCCCCCCCCCCCCCCCCCCCCCCCCCCCCCACCCCTCCCAACGACGCAAGTTACCCTTCGATAACTGGAATCATGCTAAGTCATTGGTGTAAAGGTTATATTTGTTCTTATAAGTGATTTCTTTCGAGGTTTAGCGGCAATGAACTCTTTGACAAATATTTGATCATGAATCATAATAATGACGAATGATTATGATGAATTCTATGAAGGCTACATGTACATGTATATACGATCTCACTTTATCTAGATCTACAAAAAGGCAATTACAAAAGTATACTAGGTCTAGGCCTACCTTCCCAAATAATATTGAAGAATTACAAAGTGTGATTTTTTTCTCACGAAATTTGGACAAAGCGAATTATGTTAAATCTGAAAGTAATACTATAAGAGTACTTGAAGAAATATATTCAATACATGATCTAAAAGTAGTACATTGTGAGACTTTTACTCCCATAAAATCGCTGGTAATATCGCAATGTATGGTCAACACGGGCGAGACAAACCGTCTAAGATCCGTTGTTGACCATACATTGCGAGACAAACGAATATGACCAGCGATATTATTTTCGATACTACATCCGCAATGAGTCATATATTTAGCATTATAAACATAACGCATGTAATTACCTTTGTAGATGGGTCAGGGGTTGCACAGTACTGACTGACCTGCTCCGCTTGCAAGGAATTCACTTGCTCTGCCATTTTAAGACTCTGAAGATGATATCATATAGTTGATTTCTGATATGAAACTTTTGTAACAGCGCAAAATATACTGTATCACAACACTTTTAGAGCTATATTGGTTATACACCTTTTGATTCGGGCGAGTCGCGTACTCAGTATTGGGGTATAACAATACTCACAGATAGTATGCATCTCGGTTACATCCGTATAGTTCCACTGTTTGCATTAGTTTAATTTTTCATGGCTGAGTAAATATGAATGAATTCCGGAAAATGCACAAGGCCGTTTCGGGCCTTATCTTTTTTAGACCTCCAATGCCATTTCCACATTGTGACGTAGATCCTTTTATGGGGAAGTGCAAGATATTTGGTAATTTGGTTTTGTAGAATTCGAAACATATATTGACATCAAATGTTCCTTTTCATTTCATATTTAATCTGATAAAAGCTCTAGTAGGACCATCAATCATTGGATATGAACTGAAATCATAGATGTGGTTTATGACATACAGGACGATAGCTTGGGCTTGCACTTATTACCTTGCCCTTAAAAATGAGACATATTTAATTTGTCATGTTCACTTATTTGTAGCCCTTTTTAAGAAAAAGATGAATAACTACTGAACAGTAGCGTATCTAAACGTCTGGGGGGGGGGGGGTCATCTGAGCCAATAGTGAATAAACAAACTGTAAAAAAGGGAAGAAAATATCGAGACCGAAAGAAAGAAAAAGAGAAAAGCTGGAAAAGAGAAAACATTAAAGAGACGAGGAAGGAGAGAGAGAGAGAGAGAGAGAGAGAGAGAGAGAGAGAGAGAGACAGAGACAGAGAGAGGCGCACATGAGTGGGAGTGGGTGCAGGGGGTACATAAAAGTGTAGTATGAAATTAAGTGTGTGACAAACTAACTTCAATAGAAGGGCAACTCTTCTCTTTACTCCCCTCTCGCCCCCCCCCCCCTTTTCCTCTCTCTCTTACTCTTTCTCTCTCTCTCTCTCTCTCTGTCAATCTATTATTATTCTTGGTACTTTATCTCTTTCCCACCTTCTTCTTTATTTTTTTTCTCACGAGAACAATAATACTTGTAGATTTATCCTTTTATTTCAGAATAGTAATCAATTTTTTTATTTCATATCAAAATGCAAGAAACAAATGATCTCCCTTCATGACAGTTTATACATTTGTACAAATAAATTTCAGGTTGTACTTCTAATGAAAAAAAAATGATCATAAACTGCAAAAATAATTATATTTTAATACATAATTCACCTCTGCCCTAATGCCCAATTGGTATAATGTTTAAATCAACAACTCCTAGAAACAAAGTATTCACTCAATTATACATGGGTTGTTCATGTTTTTAAATATAAATATCTGTTTATTTCATATTTAAAGAGACAATGAAAAGACAAAGGAAATAAAATCTTTTAAAACATAACATTTTTAGATGCTTTTCACCAAGGTATGATTGTTCACATAACATGATAAAAATTGAGATGTCACTTACAGCACTTAAAAAATATCTATATCACCTTTCAAATGCAACAGAATAGCCGAGTTCAACTTGAACTCTGCAAACAGCGGAGTGACGGAGAACATCAAATTTTGCGATCGATAAATTATGTTTAATAATTTTCACATTCATAAGGTACAGTCCCATCAAAGCTTGATATTTTTTGAGTACGCAAAGCAAAAATTGATAGTGTCTGAGATTGCAATCAATATTTCTTGAAAATGTTGTGATCGTTTGGATTCAGGAGCGATGAAATGTCCCCAAGGAGGCGGAGCCAAATACTGAATGGTGACGCTGCAGCTCATAAGCAAATGAGGCAACCTGCGCATCTATACTACTTTATTTGTCTATGGTCCAACCCTGAATCCAATAATGCTCTTATGTGTCGATTACAGCGAGGCTTTGTGATTGTAGCAATAGCACTTCAATTATCTTGCGTTATTCCAGCCACTGTTAGACAAAGTCTGGCAGTACAGGAGGGTGTGCATACATGTATTTGTACACCCAGCAGTGAAACAAAATAACTGGTTTCTATCATTCTGTCTTGGCCAGGTTGTTGGCACTAAGGATCTCAATCCAGTATCCATCGGGATCTTGAATGAAAGCGAGTCCCTTCATTTTACCTGAAAGATAAGAAAAAGAAAGAAAAAGAAATAAATCATCGGTTAAATTGAAAGAAAAAAACATTGTGAAAAAGCAGAGAAATAAATTTTGATAAATTCACGTCAAAAGGAGACACATCCATTCACGCAACCATATTATAAACAACTGCTGATAGAACAAGTGGTACATCATTGAAATGACATTCTGAAGAAGAAAAAAATTGTTTAATAGGATATTTTAATTCACCTGGGATGGTTTTGAAAATGATGTTATGTTTATTTTTAGTGAAAATATTTTTTGTCATAATATATTTTAAAAACTGCAACTGAATTATCTTGTTCCCATGGGCTTAATTGGCTCCTAAGAGGCTAGAGAAAAGGCTTTGATTTAAATCAAGCGCAATGGTCTTAGTTTACTGAATACTCAAGTATCCTGACTGAATTAGAATAACAATTTATTTTTGTAATGAATATAATTGCCACTGTTCTTCTATAATAATCTTAAATTATATATACAAAATTATATCCAGTAGCACTTTTCCAGACTCTAAACCTCGCTTCCCTCAAAAAAGAAAAGCATACAGGAATTTGTTTAAAGCTCCTTTAATAAATCAACATGAGAGAAAATAAAAGTTTATAAAACAATGAAGCAATTCATACAGAGAACATTAATTTGCTGCAACATTCTCCAATACAATGTCTTCTTTAAAGCTAAATAATAATATTACCATTGTATTTCTTGAAGTTTGAACATTATCAAAATGTCAGTATTCAAGTTTTTAATACCAAATAAAGAAAATACAAATCAACCTCGCTAAATAACTAACAAAGTTCAGATGCACAAACAATTCCTCAGTTTAAGTACATAGTGTTATGATATGCAATATCCGGTATCAGTCGTAATTGAATAAATAACATGTACATGTATGCTATAACAAACCAGTCTGCCGACTCTCTATTATCCTGAGTTATCTACCATTACTAAGATCCTCAAACTCATCATGGTGGCAGCAGTGGGATTTGAACAAACGCCATTGAAATGACTGGTACAAGTACAAGTATTGTCAGTTGAAAAGACTTTTCCCACCTGCATCAGGCTTCTTGATGAAGTTCACTCCTAGCTTTTCAAACCTCTCACAGGCAGCATACACATCAGGTACAGATAAACCAATGTGACCTGTCATTGGGAATTAATAGGAATAACATCAATGGAAATGTTTTTTGCTAGAATTATAATATATCTAGGGTTTAATTTTGGAGCTTATTTTTAATAAGTCTTTTATTTCTAAGTTGAAATCGCTCATTTAAAGGCCATCAGTACTAGTGTAAAGGATGGATTAGACCACCCTGCAAGGTCACTGGACAGTTGTTAATCTCATCAACCCAGCTTTCAAATAATATAAGAAAAAGAGGATCATTGGGGACCAATGGTCAACGAATAGGCATTGTTTGTTATATAGAGGGCACAAGTAGCTACAAGAAGTGCAGTGGGGCTTTAATATGTTTTACAATGTTCCAATTTGTACGCTGTACGCTTGTGTATTATTTCAAGCAATTGCTCGATGTCCAGTGCAGATGCAAAATGTCTCTGTCAATCAGAGGTTTGCTGATTGCATCTTGTTCATGAAGGCTTATTTTGTTTTTCTTACTTTTTCAAACTTAACTCTAAGGTTCCTTCCTGAATTCATATCAGTAAATATGACATTTAATGAAAGCTACTCACCAAATCCTTTAGGCTCCTTGTTACCATTATGGTAGCCTTCAAATTTATCATCCGAGTCTGTACCATAGTTACTAAGAGATGATTAAATTTAGACAAAAAGAAATAGATGAATATTTGACAGGGTGATATATAGTAAAGCACCTAAAAACATATGAAAAAATATTGAGAAATTTCCCCATATTAAATTTGTGATTAAAAAAAATAATGATGTATACAACTAAAATTAGTCTAGATTACTAATTCATGTGTTAAGGTGTACTGCCATCAACAGTACGGTTCAGTCCAATTTTCTATATTTTCCTTGATGTTCATGACATGTACAATGCAGCAATGTCACACAGAATGGTGAATGTCTATCACCTATCATCTTTTCCAACAGTTTGTATATGCCATCTCATTCTTTTTTTGATAGCATATTTTTAAAATAAATGTATAAATTAATCAGAGGGCTTTACAAATTTTCTTGCCAAATATTGCATATTTTTAGATGACACACAAATCCTAAATGTAATATCTCAGATACTAATAAATTTGCTCTATCAGCAGAGCTCACCTGGAAATGTAAATGGTAACAAAATGCCAGTGGGATATAGGAAAACAAAAAGATAAGTGATTAGTCACTTTTCTATTGGCAATTTTTCTCTGAGAGAGGGCAAGTGGATTTTTAGCACCATTGCTTCTACAAATCATAATGCTAGTTCTTACTATGTGAGCTCTATTGTTCCAGGCTGCATGAATGTCCATTTAATTCTCTCCTTCTCATCCTTGGGGATATCAGCTTCATTGGCAAAGCCCATGAAGAACAGGGTGAACTCCATGGAGGGGAAGTCAAGCCTTGTCAGTAACCTGAGAAAAACAACATAGAATCGTAGAGGTAAAGATAGCATAAATAGTAACTGAACTAAGAATTCAAGTCAGTATTAGAAATACAAATAGTGGTGTTCATTGGTGTTCATTCCCTCTTCTTTGACAAATAGAGGATCACGATTTGGGATAATAATAATAATACTAACATTTATAATGCGCACATATCCACCCCAAGAGATGCTCAAGGCGCCTAACAAGGTAAATACATTAAACATAAGAAAGTACATGAGAAGTTACAGGGAACGAAAATACTTTAACATAATATAATATAATTAAACAACGTTAATTACGTCAGATTGTGAAATACACTACGTCTTAACTAAGGAATTCAGACATTAGATAGGTTTTCAAGTTCTTTTGGAACAAATTTTGATTGAATGGGGTAAGGAGTTCCATAACCGGGGTGCAGCAGCTATAAAAGCTCTGTTACCCCAACTCCTCTTTGTTCTTAATTGTATTAGCTTTGTTGAATTGGAGGAACGAAGACCTGCACGAGAACTTGAAGAAACATTAAGAAAAAAGAGAGAAAGAAATACATTACGAAATGAAGACGGATCACAGATACAAAGTGATTGTGAGCCACGTCATATCTGGCTTGAATACCAACAAATATTAAATTCTGCATAATCAAAGAATGATCAATTATAATATCTTGACTCTTAAGGTGTTAGAGTTTTCAAGGGCTCCTGCTTCATTGTCAATTTACAATACAGACAATATTAGCCTATTTGAAGAAAAAGAGAAGAAGAAGGAAAAAAACTAGATGGAACTTCGACTGCGCGCAGTCGAAATGATGCCTCCGTCATAGAGCAATTTACAAACCAAAAGAGAAGAAATTTTTCAAATTCAAGTTCAATTGTAATCCATTAACAGGTTCTCAGAATATTGTGATTACAAGCGATTTCTCATATACATATATGACCCTTTGATCTTTGACCATCAATCTGTTCTAATGATAATGCGATCACAAGCTATTTTTGCATACATAATGAGCCACATGACCTTTGACCTTGACCTCATGACCCCAAAATCTAATCAGTTCATCGGCTTCGCAAGTAACATACATGACCTAAGTTTGGCAGGAATCCTTCAATCGGTTCTTGAGATAACGCGATCAAGAGCAGTTTTTGCATACATAATGAGCCCTGTGACCTTTGACCTCGTGACCCCAAAATCTATTCACTTCATCGGCTCTGCAAGATACATACATGACCAAAATTTGGCAGGAATCCACCAATCGGTTCTTCGGATAACGCAATCACGAGCTGTTTTTGCATACATAATGAGCCCTGTGACCTTTGACCTTTGACCTCGTGACCCCAAAATCTAATCAGTTCATAGGCTCTGCAAGATACATACATGACCAAAGTTTGGCAGGAATCCATCAATCGGTTCTTTGGATAACGCGATCACGAGCTGTTTTTGCATACATAATGAGCCCTGTGACCTTTGACCTTTGACCTCGTGACCCCAAAATCTAATCAGTTCATCGGCTCTGCAAGATACATACATGACCAAAGTTTGGCAGAAATCCATCAATCGGTTCTTCAGATAACGCGATCACGAGAACGGGACGTACGGACGGACGGACGGACAACCAGAAAACATAATGCCTCCGGCTACTTCGTAACGGAGGCATAAAAACATCTAATACTTTGAAAACAACAAATTCCATACCAACCTTTACTTTGTTTCACATTTCAATTTATGTAATAACAGTAATCAATTACATGTATTTCATTACATTAGAATGTTCTTATGACACCATACACCTAGCCAAAATCTAAATTTGCAAACAGAATAATGGGCATGTTTTTTTTGTTCAACATCTCAAATAGGTTTCCACACTTTTACAAGAACAGGGCCCTTTCATAAGTACCACCTCTTTTTAAGTCTTTAAATTTTACTTGGCATTTCTTCACAAAAAATGAATTTAAATGGGTCCAATCCCAATTTATATGGACTTTTTATTTGATAATTAAATAAAAACAAACTATACAGTACCTCATTCCCAGCACCCTGGTGTAGAAATCAAGGGACTTGCGTGGATCTCGAATTCTGTACATCGTCTGCTGCATAATAAAACCCTGAAGAGGAGGAGAAAAAAATGAAGAAGAGAGAAAATCTTTAAACATTATAACTGGATGCTTCTGTATGATTATACATCCAATCGTACTAAGTACTTCAAGGCCTATTCAAGCCAAGAAAGAAGGATCATACATCGTTTCTGCGGATCGCAAATATAAAGATAAAGTTGAGTTCTGGTCATGCGATTGCCTTGTGAAAGAAACGGTGTGGAATCGATCAGAAAAGGTTGATCATAAAGTATTGGTGTGTACTGCAAGATTTTGAAGTTATCAAAATGATAAGAAATTTGGCCCAGTCTTGGTAAAGTTACAAGCATTGTACACACAAAGATTTATATGGGGCTACACAAACATGTGGCATAAAAATCAGTCCCGATTTGTATGCTGTTAGATGCCATATTAATATTAATGTGTTTAATGAAGAGCCATGTTTTTCAGGAAACTTTTTTAACTGATGTTCTCTCACACATTCCACACTTGCATAACAACAATGATAACGCTCACAAATTATTTTTCACCCCTTACCAGAACTCAACCTTCTCTTTAACTTCATGCGAACAGATATTTATATGACAATCATTTGCAATATTCATAGAAATTGAAGATTTGATTTTGCCCTTATTTCAGTGCTGAAGATGCCTTGCACACACTTATTGAGGTCTTGTCCAACAAGAATAAACAGATTTAAAGTTCCATTTTCTGGAATTTTGAGTGTAAGAAATAAATACATATTACATGTAACAACTAACATGTAGGGAACTAGGCCAGGGTCTAGGGATGACAAAATGAGGTCTAAATGCATGTTAGTCTCACATATTAGCATAGTCCAGGCATAGTCATGGAACAGTCAATAATGTAATGACCAAAATGATTTAAAACTAGAGTCTAAATCTAATGTCCTTTCCTAGTCTTAGTTAGATTAGGGACGTGATAGAGAAGGACTGGAATCAAGCCGCTCTCCTTTGACCCCATGCTCCAAGCCGCATTATCCTAAAATATTAAGTTTTGACTTTTTGTCAGGATGTAATTTTACTTTTACCAACTCTGGCACATAAATTATAGGAAGGACAGAGTACTAAATTTGAAAATGTGTTTGATGCACTATTCCCAAAACAATCCCCATATCATTTTTTGTTATTTACACTAAAAAAAAATTTGCCAGTAATTTAATATTTTGTAATAAATGTAAAACTGGTGCCTGGCTTCCGAAAGTCCCGCAGTACTAGAAGAGCGGTTCGGAGCATGGAACTTCAAAGGTTAAGCCAAGTAGAATGTAGACCAAAAGCTTCAGTCTCTCTATAGACCTATATCGTTGTTTGTTCCACTGAGACTACGTCTGGCTCCACTAGACCTCCGATTTGGGGAATGTCAACAAATGTCAGTTTTATTAAGAAATGACCCATATCAGACAGTTATTTCTGTGTTTAAGTGCAATGTTACACATCACATTTAATGTACGCTTTAGAACTCACGAATGTGTTTGAATAAATTACAAGAGTTTCGCCTCCTTTCTTTCACCTCCCTGGCTAGATCTAACTTTAGTTAAAATAAAAGTTTTATTAGATTAAAGTTAAATGCAAAACTAAAACAAAGTAAAATTAAATATTTCTAAAAACGATAACCAAGAATTTGTACCTGAGTTGATGCATCAGGTGCAGAGCAGCATGCTTCTACCTTCTCAGCCGGGAGAGCATTCTTTGATTCGGCCATCGCTGGTTCGTCTCTTTCATAAATCAAAATAGAAATCGAAATATAAATTTATCAAATAGAGTCAGTCAAGCGGGCAGTCAAGTTCTACGATGTACTGTTACGTCATGACACAGCATTTACCATTGCTAGTAGTTGCACGCTGTGCATTGCCGATAGAAAGTCACGTGACCAACCTTCGCCTATGTCAGGTGACACCTATCCCCCCCCCCCCTCCCCATCCACTCAACAGAACAAGCGATTCTGAAGTGCTGTTTTGTTCCGATTATAGACCTATGGCATTTAAATTGATTTAATGCACACCGGGTAGCATCATTTGCTTGCATGCAAGTAGGGTAAGCTAAATTTATTTAAAGCAGTCATTTTTAAATGTGAAAGGTACCTGGTAGTGGCTATAGATCTAGCTCTTGTGATTGTGGCTGTGGTTACCCGCCCTGGTCTCTGGAAGAGGAAATGATACACCGGTAGTCGGTACGCTCTCTGTGATACGACAGCCGTACGGAAGCTACGTGCAGCGAGAAGGCGACTTATTGAACTCGTCATGCTCATGGCCATGGCGCATTGGTGCCTCGACCGGTTAAGTTCACACAGACAGTGTCTCAATTAAATGGCACCCATACTCCTGCGTAAAGAGAGGGGGTACATAAAATCTAAAATGTGTTTGTAGTCTACCTTCGGTTATCCTTTGCTTTAGTATGTTTTATTATTTCTGGTTCCTAACTCCAGTCAACACCAGCAGTAACATAACCTGTACTCCTGTATTACTACTACTATAATATTATGTTGTGTAGTTGTCATTCGGCTGTGCACAGGGCGCGCACGCGCGGGTTATAATGTTGTCATAAATAAAGGACTAAAGTAGGCTACAGACTTTGAACTTCTTGTTTCGAAAGTAGCATTCTTTGGAACTTCAATTGACATTATATGTTTAATTGGGTTAGGAACTTCCAAATGTGATGATTTATTTTACATTTTAAAGCTGAGAATCAGACAAATACATGTACTAAAAAATAATATATCTAGCGAATTTGTTGGTGGTTTTGTAGCACTTTATCTGACCTGAATTTCATCTGGGAAAAGTCTTCGTCGATATGTACCGTAACTGTCTGGTATTGGAAATCTTTAATAAAACTGACATTTGCCAACCTTCCCCTTACCCAGATACTTGAACCACAGGGGAATTAACAGACACCTTTCCTCACAATCTGGGTTATACCCAGTTTTCTGATCTAAACTTACCAGGGCTGCAGTGTCAACCCTCCCGCATTTGGAGTCTCATGCCACCACGCTCATTCTCCTGTCATCCCAATAGCTCGTAGCGGGAGACTCCCACCAGCACGTCTTTTCTCCAGCTCTTCTGCTTCCAAGTTCCATGTAAAATTTCCCGGTTAATGATAAAACCTCCCATCCAAAAAAAAACAAAAATGTGCTGCCTTCTCATAACGAGAGCTACTGAAATGATATTTGCTTATTGTTGCATAGAGCAGTTAGCACCAATTTATCAAGAATATTTCATGAATGGCCCAGAGGTCTACATTACACCTGTTCTAATAAGTTTGTATTGTCTCTACAGGTGTCATTGACTGACTGAGCTGTTGCCAAGCACCATAGGGTTTGAAGATGGCAGATTATGGTGCAGGCAAACAACAAGGGCAGGTAATTAAATTCTTAATGATCAAGAGAAAAGCAGCTCTAGAAGAAACAGAGCCAAACTATATTTTATTTAAGAGCCCTCATGAAGTAATTATAATAATATTCTGTTTTTTTTTTATAGTGCTTAATACATCTATGATGTCTCCAAGCGCTTTACAGATATATTATTACCCTGGTCATTGGATTCAATACTTGCCCGCACACACTGTGCCTATTCTCCACTCCCTGGGGAGCACTCCAGCCAGGCGTTACGTTGCTCAAAACTGTTTGACCAACAATGATGGTCGCTTCCTACCGGGTACCCATTTAACACTTGGGTGGAGAGTAGCAAGTGCAGGTTAATATCTCAATTGCCAAAGGATATTAGTGCCATGTCGGGATTCAACCCTCAACCTTCGCATCTCTAGTCAAGCGCCTTAAGCCACTCGACCCAACACTCCTATGAAACTTTTTCAAATTTATTGGTCAACTGTGTACCGGTAACTGTAACAGATGACTTAGGAATTATTGATTTTTAACTTAAATGATTGTAAATATAGCTGTATGTACTTTAACAAAAAAAAAGGATTTCTGAATGAACATGTAATTGCTTGTGAAAGTTTGTTTGCCTTAAATTTCTGCAAAAAAAACATATTACATAGAGGTTAAAAAGTCACAAAGTCTTACATGTAAGTCACAACGCCTTGAAAATCATGAAGGACTTTGATTGCACTTATTGTGTTTAAAACAAAAATCTTTGTACTTTTTCTACAGGACAAAATATTTGAATGCTCTGAATGCAAGTTGAGATACAGCTTTCGAACGAATCTCTGTCGCCATAGACGAACTATCCACAAGAAGGAGACGAAGAGAGAGAGGACCACCTGCACCTTTCCTGGATGCTCGGTGAAGTTCTATCATCGAACCAAACTTTTGTCTCATCTTCAACTGGCTCATGGTCAAAACACAGAGAAGACAGATCTAACTTTCCCCTCAATAGACAAGTTTCTATCGTGGAAAGAGCGAGAGGAAGCGGAGAACTTTCTATGTTTCACAAAGCAGGGAGGGGGTCTCAATTATCATTCTGTCATTCATCAGCACTACATCTGCCAGAGAGATGGAAAGTCCAGGAGACACATCTCAAAAAGTTATCCAGGCCCGAAGACGAATAGGACACTTCGGAGGGGTGTCGTAAAAACAGACTTGGTGTGCCCAGCCAGAATGTTAGTAAGACAGTATAAGAAGGATGGGAGAGTGAATGTTTCATATTACAAGTCACATTCTCACCCTATCTCACCCGATGATGTGGTACATCATCCTCTCCCAGATTCTGTGCGGAAGGACATCAAGAACAAGCTCGCCTCTGGCATGACAGCCAATCAGATCTACCAGCAATTTCAGGACCAAAGCTGTGGTCGTCTGCCCTCATCCACCATGCATGACATCAGATTAAAGCATATAAACAAACCCCAGATTCGTGCCATTCATCAACGTCTTCAGAGGAACCCAAAGGAAGTCGTCCAATCTCAATCAGACCCTGCATACAACGTTGTGGTAGAGGTACTCCACATTGCTGATACTTGTAATACCAGTAATGGTGGAGAAAGTCCTGACATAAATGTACAAGCTTCGGAGCAACAGAACATCCCATTAGATGTAAATACAAAGAGTGGTAACATTAAACAAGAACTACTGCTTTCAAAACCTGTGGCAAATCCTTTATGTGAAGCTACTGTGCCTTTGGACTATGGACCCAGGCTTCATGGCATACTAAGTGAGATCTTGGTGTTGATGGAGAATGAGAATGTTAGGAAGACTATGTTGCCCTGTGTGATTGAAGATCTTGAAGGAATGCTCTCTCTATGTCACCAAGAAGCAAACTCCCACAATGTGAGGCATGGTGAGGTGAGGTGAGGTGAGGAAGTGCTTTCCTTGGAGAAACAAAGTTAGCAATGTGAAAACGTCCTCTTATTAAAGAGAAGGATGAGTTCTGGGAAGAGGTGAAAAATAATTTGTGAGCGTTATCATTGTTATTATGCAAGTGTGGAAGAACATCAGATAAAACATGTTCCCTGAAAAGCATGGCTCTACAAATGCCTTCATATTCTAAATATGGCATGTAACATCGTAAAAATGCAATACACAGAAATACTTATATGCTAAATGATCAACCTTTTCTGATCGACTCCACAACGTTTCTTTCACAATGCAATCGCATGACCAGAACTCAACTTTATCTTTAAATCTTAGTATGTTATTAGTGTAAAATGTGAATTCTATTGCATCTTCATTTTTAAAAAAATAATCTTCCTGTGAGGACTGATTCAGCCTTGTTTATCTGTAATGCAGTATACAGTTTTAAATTTAAAAAAAAAGAGTGTTAATGTAACAACTCTCTTGCTATCACATGCAAATTTCAACAATTTATATATATATTTCATATATCCCTCATTTGTTCTTAACTCGTCAAGTTCAATTGACTTCCCTCTATTGAGCTATCATTTCAGATTCTATTCTTGCCACAGGCTTGTTTGCTTTATTATTAGTAGAAATATTATTAGTATTATCCTAATATTTCATTTAAATTTGTATGGCATTGGAATTTCATTTTAGTTAACTATACATGCATGCTACTTTCAAGGCATACATTGTATGTCTTCCCTGCTTGATTTGTACATACTGCCATCTTGTGTCCAATTTGATTTAAATATAGAAGTCTAAGGCATAAATTTGTCACTCTAGTCTTCAAGATTTATATCACATCCTTTTGCACAAGTTCTGATCAACATGTAGATATTTGTTTTATTTCATACCATGACCTAAGGAACTTATTACGTGTTACTTTGTTTTAGCCCCACCACCCCTTTCCCTCTTTTCCCCTTAGACCACTTTTTTTTAAAAGTTTCAAGGGGATCATCTGAACTGTTTTTAGATTTAACTATAGGATTAATGAGTCCACAATGTATGCAGATTTTAGTTATGTCTTTGGTGTTGACATTGGCAGTAAACATGGCAAATGTATAACTTATTTTTTTCTCTGTTTTACATTTTATGTTATTAGATATAAATATTGTGTATAGTTGGTATAGAGACATTTTGTGTGTGTAAGCATGTGTGTGTGTGTGATTTGTTTTGTAATGTTTTGTTTTGTTCTGTGTTGGGTACTTTCATTCCTTTCCATGTTTTTAAATAAGGTTATGGATAGTTTTGTTTGTTCATTCACTTTAGTAGTACACTGTAGATCAGTTGCTACTAAAGCCTACTATGCAGATATATTGTATGATGCACTTTTTCTTAGATATACATGTATATGTTTTCATATGCTGCCTAACCTGTACTTTGTGTTGTGATAAAGTTTTTCCTATTGAATAAAAACACTTTATCAAAAATGAAAAAGCTGTTTTTAGATTTATATTTTTGTAATTATTTTTGTTGGCAACTTACATTTACATAGTTATGTAAATTTATATCTTTTTCTGAGGTCCCTTCTGTTAAGTTTTTATTTGGTGACAGATAAAGAAAGCTAGAAAAATGTGTATTTATAGAATATTAAACTTACAAGATCAGATTCATTTTGAGTTTGTTGGTCATCATGGGATAGAGAGAGGTAGACGAGAGAGAGAGAGAGAGAGAGAGAGAGAGAGAGAGGGAGAGAGAGGGAATGGGATAGATAGAGGTAGACGAGAGAGAGAGGGAGGGAGGGAGAGAGAGAGAGAGAGAGAGAGAGAGGGGATACATGATACAGAGATGAAGCAATAGAAAGTATGATGTATAATATTGATCTGTAACAGACTCAATGGCATGCGTTTCTTCAAAATGTGACTTATCATTTTAAGAAGGTGACGACATGCAGTTTTTTTCTGGAGCCTGGTCTTTTCTCTACTCCAGATTCCAAACCTGTAATCTATTATTGTTCCATCACATTACAATTTTTTGATTAATATGCCTCTTTCTTTGCCTCTCCTATTTTGGCAATATCCTCTCACATTCTGCCTCTCACACTCCCCCTTGTCTCTGATCCTCTTTCTGTCTGTCTCTTTCCCTGTACATGTATGTCTACTCTCTTTCTCTCTGTCTCACCTATATATCTCTCTCCCTACCACCCTCCCCTTTCTCTCTCTCTCTCTCTCTCTCTCTCTCTCTCTCTCCCTACCCTATATATATCTCTCTCTCCCTACCACCCTCTCCCCCCCTCTCTCTCTCTCCCTACCACCCTGTTTCCCTCCCTCCCTCTCCCACTCATCTCTCTCTCTCTCATCTCTCTCACTCCCTACCACCCCCTCTCTCTCTCTTTCACTCCCCCTCTCTCTCTCTCTCCTCCCTCTCTCTATTCTCTCTTCCTGTATCTGTTATCAGGCAGAACTACATTGATATTCACATATCACTATGATAGTTGTAAGTTTTAGTGCATCATGTACTTTTATTGACAAATTGCAACAAGATAAAGCAATGGCAATTTCAATGAGAGCTGTAGATAAGAAATGATCAGTAAATAGAAAAATAAATAAAAACACAGAAATTGCACAAATATATGTGCACTGACAAGCTGAAAATAAAAACACCATAAACCATAATAATGATGTGATTTTTCACATGACATGAGTTGCTCCAAGTTCCAGAAGATAAGTGATTTAGCCTAGAATTTGACAAATTTTAAAATGATAAATGAAAAAGAACAAAAAAGTGATTACCCGTTAAGAGCAACAAACCTTGAAGACCTTGTTATTTTCCAACATACTTATTTTCTGTGTACATGTCTGACAGAAAATCCTTTGTATACTACAGAAGACCATATAGAATTATGAATGTTTGTCTTTTACTTGATTGAAGACATTATAAATGATTCTTTGCACATATTTCCTCGAAGTACATTTATTTATCTGTTTTCTTTTTCACATAAATGCATGAGATAGAACAAGTAGTACAAAAATGCAAATGTAATATTTGCATGCTTCGAAAAGATGTTGTTGAAATATAAAAAGTTCACCATTGCAAGAATAAATACACCTCTATTTTACAAATTTGAGCATATAAAAACAGACTATCAAAAATATTGATGTACACATTGTCATCTTACCTTAAAAAAAAAAAAAAATCATATTCCAAGCAAAAGAAGTATCATTCTTATGTCAACAACTACATGTACACTGTATATGTAAAAATACAAGTGAGAGAAGAAAAGAAGTGTATTTCAATTTCGAAATAAATAAATAACATGTAGTAGTCCTGCATAAAAAGCCATATTAGTATATGATTTTTTTCAGAAAATTTGCTGTCAATATCCTTTAACATGATAACAGCTTTTGCACTCTGAATTCTCTGATGATATTCTTATTGAACACTGTCCTCTTTTTGTTCAATGATGGCAAAGATCGGCAATACCCTTCCCCCCTTCTAATTGAAAACGTATAAATTGCACATTTCATATTTCCTTGATGTACTCAATGTACATACCGGTAATACTTTTCTTTCTCTTTGTGATGCTTTCATTTCTATTCCATCACTTACTGTCACTACAAATACTAACCTTGCGATTCAAAAAGATTTGTTGGTACACGTATCTTAACAAGATAGTACATGACATCAAATCATAGAATGAATGAATGAAGATACATGTGTAACCAACTATAAATCAATTTTCCCTAGCAAAAATGGACATGATCTCTTTGGTACAAACATTTGAAAAACAAGATTGCACATGACAATTTTTTTTTGCTACAAAAATACAACCTCCATGATGTCATGAGAAGAATAAAATCACAAAAATTCTAGTTTCAGAACATAAAGAATGGTAACCCCTAAGTTAGCACCGTGTCACAAGACCTGCAATGTACATATATATCAACCTCAATCAGCTGTTCAATAACCCTCTGACCAAATAAATTTCCTGCTAAACCTTAAATAAAGCATTCATACAAAAGCAAGGTGCCTTTAAAACCCACACTCACAATCCTTCATACCATTCAAAGTAATAGTCAGGTTTTAATTGTCATTTACTTGTTTTTTCAAAACTTTCTTATGCAACACTTTATGCAACACCTCGCAGAAGATCTTATTCTTGGTTCATCCCCATTTGTTAATTGACAGTGGCCGATCATATGAAAATCCTACCAAGTCCCTTCAAAGAAATAGTCAGGTTTCAATTGTCATTTTCTTTTCTCCCATTTAATCGGCCCTTGTGATTAACCATATCTAACTTACAATTATAATGTAACCAAGTCTGCAATTCTTTTCTAGATATCAACAGATTTTTAAAAAAATATATAAATTGCATGTTGGATATCTTTTTATAAGTTCAAATATTACCGGTACTTCACCTCACTCTAAAATTCAAGAACGTCTAAATTTTTCCAAAAAAATCCCTTATCAAGTGTAGGTTATTCTGCTCTTAATCTCTCATATCTGGAACTACAAAAATTGTACTTTAGGCTATGATTTCTGTCAGTACCTTAAAGTTTTTGAAATTCACTTATGGAACAAAGTCTTACTTTCAAAATGTCTAAAATGCACACCAAGTACTGTACTTGTAAGATTAGTTTACAAAAAAACTCTTTTCCTCTGGACAGTTGCACTTCCTGTATTCTTCTTGCGATGATCTGAAAGATAATACAAAACACTTTTGAATCAATCACATCTGATAACTAAAGTTCAAACTTCCTCAACTTGGATAGGTTCTGTGATGGGAACTTGTGGTTCCTTCTCCTCTTCAATCTGAACAGAGGCCTTACTGTTTCCAAGGGAAGTTTGTCTCGTTTCCACTTCACCATCTTTAAAGTTTGTCTGATTGTTGTTTTTGAGAGCCATCTCTTGTTCATAGAGCATTTGAAGTGTCTGAAGATTTCCACAGAGACTATTTGTCCTGCTCAAGGCAACAGACATGCGTGAGTTCCTTCGCTCATGTACTGCATTGGAGTTGGACCGTACCGATCCCTTTTTGCACGGCCTCCGAAAGCACCTTAAAATTCGCCTGAATGCTGCTCGGAAGTCCTGATTGCGAAACGCATAGATCCATGGATTGAGGCAACTATTCAGCAAAAGCAATAGTCCTGTATAGTTGTGCATTGTCAGGAATTGAGAAAACGCTTTACAGAAGACTTCAACCACCACCGTCGTGATGAACGTACCCCAGGTTAAAGTAAACACACCCAGAATAAGAGCAAGTGTCTTCCAGTACTTGTTTCCTTTAAATGTGTTATAGTTTTTGACGGCACCAGGGAACAGGGAGAACTGGACAGCTGAAATAGCTCTGGTGTGGTGTCTGGCAACTAGCATCACACGGCAGTAGCAGAAGAACATACACACCAAGGCAGGTAGGAAGATGGCTATGACCTGGGCAAGGGATGTGTAATTGTGGTAGAAGTTGAGCGAACACAGCATCTCCATACTGGTACCTGGGAGAGGAATGAACCATCCTATCATAGGGATGACGGATATGACGGTAACGTAGATCCACACCAGTAAGCAAATAACGGCAATGTGGACCGATGTGATGCGTGCAGAGTACTTCAGAGGCTCCACAAGTGCGGAGTAGCGGTCATAGGCGATGATGCTGAGACTAAGCACGGAGACACCGCTGAAGAGCGACATCAGGCAGTATGGCAACAAGCACAGTACCCCTCCCGTCTCACTCAAGAAGTTGAATGCAAAGAGGATAAGGGTCATGATGGCCACACCTAGGTCAGCCACTGCAAGGTTCATCAAGATGTAGTTGGGCGGTATCTGCAGCCTCTTGAACTTGGCAACCGAGACGATGATGAGGATGTTGCCAATGAAGGTAATGGTCATGAGGATAAAGATGATGCCCAGGGCAATGTAAGACTGGAAACCCCACTCAGAATCAGCACCTTCTGGAAAGAGCGTGGTCGCGATGTCCTGGCCGCTGCCATTACTGCGGAGGAGATGGGAAATGGGTGTGACTGTTGTTTCTTGCATGATGATGATGATGGCCTGATCCTCACTGAGGTTGGTCTGTGATGAGGATAGATGTAACTGCTTCATTTCTAGTCATTCCTCACTCTCTCATCCCATCAGCAGTCTTCCGAAAAGAAGTGGGTTAACTGAGTTCAGTTGGTCCTGGTTCAGTGATTAAGGGATCTGAAAGACAAAATAGGCAAAGTTTGATTAAATTTCAGAGAATTTTTGATTTTTTTCCCCACATTCTATCTAAAAATAAATGTTTCATTGATGCACACTTTATCATTGTCTAAAAAAAAACGGAGTAGAAAAAAAGAAACGCATACATGTATCAATAATCAACTGATCTCGGTGAGTATCTCTGAGTTATCATGACTCATGTCTTAGCTAATCATAGTTGAACAATGCTCATTCAGCTACTCTTCCTCACACATTTCCTACTTAGTCTCCATTCTAGACTCGATACTCGGTATTTCTCGTTCCATACGACACAATGAATTGTAGATATCTTTCATCGAATCAAATTAGCTGAGGCAGGGAAGTAACCGTGGACAGAAATCTTGCAGGGACAGGCCTTGGGTTACAATAGGGGGATGAAAATAACATCAGGGGTCACGGCCTTTGGGTGTCATGTCTGAGTGCTAGACTGGTTTTACATGGGGCATGCATGGGGCTCTATGGGAGGATGCAGTCGAGGGTCTCCAGTATTAGGGAACATTATATGTATTTCCGAAATTGGCACTGAGCCCTGCCCACGCCTCACATTCCCTAAATAGAAATGCCCTGACGCAACCAACGTAAGAAATAATTGTTCTCTGATGATTCTAGAATGTGGCGAAATTAACAATGATCTGACTCAAATTCTATTTTGAGAAAGTAAAACTTCCGTCATAGTAACAACTTTTTTTACATGTATCAAAAATGTATGCAGTAGAGAAATTGATTCCCATTTATAGTTTCAAATTGGATCCTGGTACAATCTTTATTCATACAGTTTTATATTACACTTCATTCCCCCATGTACATTGTATACTGAAAGCGACAAACTAGCAATTGTTAATCCCTAGAATCTCCTGTATTTACAGATGCATCCCCCTGCCCCACCCCTTTTTGTTCTTCTTTTAGTTTGTACAAGTGAAGCTGAACAAGACAATTGTTCTTAAGGGCAAGTACAAAGGACAAAGAGAGGACATATTTTATTAAAAACTTTCAATACATTGAAAAACAAATCACTTAGGAAAGTTAAGAACAGCTATCAACACAACACAATCCTGGCTGTGAAAATGGAAAGAGAAAGGCTTAGCAGCTGTTCAACCGATATCTAAAACGGGCCAAAGCTAAATGGATTCAAACGTATTTTTAGAGAAAATCTGCTTGACATGAAATAGTAATGGACAGATATGGAAATGAACTAAAATAGAGCTGAGTCAAAAGGAAGGTGTGGATTTTTGTCAGCTATTTGTGGACTCTTTCCATCAATCTTCGCTGAATGCTGTGGGCAGTTCATAGTCTCGATTGTTCAGCCTTCGATAAAGCTGATCAATCTTCACCATCCCTACTACGTCATGAATGATGCACACCACTCCACTGTTTTTCAGCTTCTGTTGAACAGTTTGTGAGAACTGCCTATAACAACTGAAAGGTCATTATGCAAGTAAAGAGAGAATTCAATTGCAGATTTAATAACACTTGATGGTTATCTACTTTGATTACAATTAAAAGAGTGGGCATATTGTATTACCACTCAAGGAAGCCTCGGTGCTGGATCATTTGAATTTCAACCACGCCTAGCTTTTGTGGTTTCAAACAAGCTTGTTATGACAACAACACGGTCAAATGAAAACATATACTTTGAAACTCACACTATCAAACATTAATATTTAATGCCTTTTTCTCGTGACTTCACTCATAATCTAAGGGTATGAGATTCTAGACTAGCAAAATCCTTGTCCTGAATGACCTCAGATGGTGTCTATTTATAGACTGACCTTGCCCAAGGGTGGACAAGAAGAGGTCATGCGAGGGTCATCACTTATTCCAATGACCCTGGAGAGTACAACCATGGTCCTAACAAGAGAGACTGAGGAATGCATGCGAACTTTCTAGTCCATTCTATTCTGCCAATCCTGTTCAATACTTGCTTACATTTCTGCTTCCTTTTTCATCAAAAGCCCAAATAAATTTCAAAAATAGAAGTCAGCTTAAAAGCCACTTTTGGAGACTTTGTGGTATGCTTCATATGGTAATTATAAGTCATAATCATGACCTGTAAAAGTATAAATGCAGAATTATAATCATTCCTGGAATTCTCAACATAACAATGTATTGCCAAAAAAAGCCTCTTGTGGATTAATCTGCAGCTATAAAGAGCATTGAGGAGAGAGTACTAAGGGTACAGGGACATGTAGGAGAGGGATTTAGGGGGAAATAGTATCAGAAGATGACCGTTAAAATTTGCTCATTGCAATCCTGCATACATAGATATATGGTGCTGTGTTTCTTTTTCCATGTTAATGAATACTTAATGTCAAAGTAAATTTTCTTTATAAAAAAAACACTTTTAATAACAATAAAACAAAAAGAGTCAAACTAGCCTTGACATAACACCTGTTACTAAGGCAAAAAGTAGAAAGAAATACTGAAAACAAAACCCAAAGAAAGAAATACTGAAAACAAAACCCAAAGAAAGAAAAGAATAATAGAAAGAAAAATATGAAAACATATAAACAACATATTTTTAGGACATTGTATTTAAACAGTGACAGGGAAGAGAAGACAAGGTCCCAGAAAAGGAATAGAAGAGATTTCTTTTTTAACACACAAAATTAGAAAATATAGTTGGGAACAGAAAAATTGAGAGGAAGAGAGAGAGAGAGAGAGAGAGAGAAGGAGCTAGAGAGAAGAGAAACAAAGACAGAGTGCATGGTTAAGTTAAAATATTATGGGTATGAAGTCATGCATTTTACAAACATATTAGTTACATGTTTTTTCCCAGGAAATATAATCCACCCAAAAAGTTTCAAGGCATTTTCTTTGCTACATGTACACTCCAAATATACCAGTTTCCTCATTAGATCAGAGCATCGCTTGAATACCAGTTAGCTCTGATTACGAATGCCACATTCTACAAGTTCCCTATCTCACCACCAGACAAAAGATACATCATTCAATTACTTTCCAAGGTATAATTAGAATGTATCGGATCTATTTATAGCAATTTCAGTTGTGATCATTTTAGATATATTGACAAGGACGGTTACAATGACAACAAAACAAACCCTGGGTAATATCTTTAGGGTAGGAAGTATGTGTGTACGTGTGAGTGTGTGTGTGTTGTTGTACTAGATGTATCTAGGTTTTTACACTTAATAGATGTTAATTACTTGTCACTTCTTTGTAGCTCCATTCAAAGAAGGTAGCACTAATTGATGCAATGAATGCCAAGCGTGCCAAGATGGCAAGCTATCAAACTCCCCAATCTATTCTTTATGCATTATTTATTGACTCCTGCAGTACAATCATTCACACAGACTGCCTGTCCGGAGTAGATGTAACAAAAACACACTTTGGATCACTAATTTATTTTGATTCACTCAAATGGATTGGACGGAAATAAACAGACAATGGCATCTAAACATCTACATAAAACATGTCCCAACGTAACCTTTTAGACTCCCTGAAAGATAATGCTTCTATCTGTAAACTTGTTTCTCTTACTGCCTGTTTAAAAGCTACTCAAGGTTTTGATCTGACTGATATTGACATTTTAAGCTCACGTCTGATCTATATTTTATCACCTGCTTATCATTGTATGCCGACCTATTTCACTTCTCTGCACTTTCTGGAGCATGATGACATGAATAACCAAAACAAACTGTTGCTTTTAGTGAGTAAAATGAATAAACGAAATGCGTAAAATTACTGCCCAGTGTATTTTCCTGATTAAATATTCAATCCTAATTGAATTATCCCGTGTTGTAACAGTAAAATGTCTAAACTTTATGTACGATTTGCAAGGAAGAAAATAGATCTCTTTCAGCCCTATGATCAATTGAGTAAAATATTTCCGAAATATTTACAAAAATCTTGGCAAAAAAAATTCCTTAAAAAAAATTACATAAACAAAAATATTAAAGGGAACGAGTTTTAGACTATGGCCAACGTTTGTGTAAAATAACCAGGTAATGAAATTGTACTACTCCATATTGTAGTGTAAGGTCATCCCTGATACAGTTTGGTTTGCATGTCCATATCAACTGTCAAATCACCATGAGATGTGACCTGAATAGTGTGGTGGGGGATAATTGAAAAAGCACTGATTGTTTACATGATACCCTACTTGCAATATGCATAAGGCTAATAGTTATTGGCATTGCTGCAACGCCTGCTCTGGCAGGCATCCATGGAGTTTTATTTGATTCGAGATTTTTGGGGTGGAAAGGGGGATGATCAAAATGCGAAATATCTAGGCCAGTTTACGTGAACTGCATGCGAAGGTCATTTAAAAAACACTTTTGTTTTAATCATTTTAAAGGAAATTTAATAGCAGTAATACATTTCTCATGTGAGGATACAAGAACTTCATTAAAAGCATCTATCCACTGAATATGACTTATATTTCTTTCAGAATTTAATTGAATTTGTTAAAACATCAGTCAAGCAAAATGGGTCAGAAGATCTAATTAGAATATGTACCGTGTCAATGTTGATAAATTCAATTATTTGTTAATAGAGTCATTGTCTGATGCCTTGGAAAATGTTACGTAATAACGTGTGTCTGGGGGTACCAGCACAGGTGCAAATTAGTTCGCATCTTGTGTTAAAAGTGTCAAGTGAAAAGTGTCAAGTGAGAAGAATGGAGGGAGGCCCAGGAGAAAGTGAGAGAAAGTCAAATAATATACTATACACTTAGCAATACATGTATCTAAAATGTACTGTGGACTTGGTTAAACAAATGTACGATAGTCCCTACTTGGTTTTCTTGTAAGTAAAGATGTTACAATGTTTATTTCAAATAAACAAAGAAAAAAAGAAAGACATAAACATTGCTGGATGTAACATCTATATGTCATATGACTTTATTCACGTTTTAATGTTCATAAGTGACTCTAAGAAAATGACCAGATCATGATGATCAGTAGAAGACAGATCATCACAGCTGCAGCTAAAGCTAGTTAATACAGGAACAGTATGTTCAGGCTAAAGTGGCACATTTCTCTTTAGATTGAAGCTCTACAATAATCTTTGGAGGCCATGTGTTTGCCTCCACAACTTAATATGAGATAGAAAAGAGAGTGTCTACTTACAGCACAAAGGGAGTTCAACAATGTTATGAAGTAATATAACACACACACAAATAAATATATGTACTAGTCATCTCAAAACTAGACTTGGGTTGCAAGCAACCTCTAAAAAAGGGTGTACATGAGATAGAAATGTATAGATATAAATTCCACACTTAAAGTGAACAAGAATGATAATAAAGCAATACATTTCACATTTATGATCTATAAAATATCATAATAAATGAAAGTATAACTTACCAGAATCATATATATGATTAAACCTCAAGAAAGTATTCCATCAAGTCTTCAGTATAATCCACTTAAGATTATCAAAGTACCCCAAAAGAAAGTCCACTGAGAAATATATTTCTCCGCAGGAAATATGATAGTGAATTACTCCACGATAGTTGGCAAGTAACAGAATAAGTATCCAGGGCACGGTATAAATAATGTCTTTTGGTTTGAAAATCACGAAGCTATGTATGATACTAACACTCTCCAATACCAGCTAAGCATCTGATCTGACATAGCCCTCGACTTACTTTCACTTGCCAATACACTCTCATACAAGCACACACACATGCAGATAGTCGCTATAGAGAGGAAGCCTGATTCCTGATTGGCTAATGGCTGGCTGCCTGCCCAGACTTAGGCTCCACCCACTAGTTTCCTGTTATAGAAGAGGAGCTATTTTTAGAAGCGGTTTTGCAGCAGCCAACATTAGCATCAGCATTTCGATCAACAGCACGCTATGGTGGATGTGACAGAAACCAATCAAATCTTAACCGCTAGCATTGTTTGCACAGAAATGGAGAGCCTCTGCAGAGTAGTAATTTCATAGGAGGTCCGTAATACAGCTATATTCGATTATGAAAAATATTTTCATGTTTACTTGCAAGCTTTGACTTTAAAAACAACAAGCTTTGATTAATCTATTTTTAGCCAGAGGGTTGTAACTCATATTACATGTATATGTACATGTTCATCTATACAGGATTGGCCAGGATAAATGCTTGTTTTCTTTTTCTTTTCGTAATAAACATGTTTACAAGGCTATATTTAGTCTCAAGTAAAGTAAAAAGTAATCAAACCAAATATTAATATCAAACATATAAGCTAAGAAAGATAACAAACAGTCCTTACCAAGACTCCTCAACCCTCTCTCTCTCTCTCTCACACGGTGCACCCGCAAGCCTACTGTATAATATCAAACATGTACAAATTAAGCCTGTTTAAAAAAAATACACACATTTTATACTGAAGTATGCCGTACCCCCCAAAAAATTCTTGCGAGGACAATTATATAAAACTTGGATGCATTAAATAATAGATGCAATTCACCTTTCACTTCATATATCAACTGACTGAACTAACACCTAAAATAAATAATTGAGTATATACAAATCAAATTCAGTGGAAACTGAATTTACTCTGAATAAGTCATGTTTACACAAGCCTTCCCAATATTAAAGGATGAATAACTCCAATTAATGGTGAAGAAAAGTAGTTCTACTTTGTACGTGTCTGAACAATAGCTAAATGTAAGGGGGGACAATAACTTCTTGTACAAATGTCAGGGACTAAAATATACCAGTATGTTTACATTTCGTGACTTTTCAGTGAAGGCTTCCATATGCTGTTACCACAAGCCTCGGTTTGTGGATATCTCAGATTGGAAGTAATAAAAGGAAAAAAAGAGTTTATATAGAGGTATCAAATGCAGCCACAAATGTTTTGTGTGAACCTGTCTAGAACAACCCCATGCATCTCTAGAGTGGCCATCTAAATGTACATTGCCTACCTCTTGGGACACACACATCATTGAGCCTGTCTAAAGTGGTTGATTTTACTTGTTTTTGGTCTTTATAAACAGGTCTGCTGTACAGATTTACCTGTCTCTACTTAAAGGGGTAGTTGAGTTCTGTTGCAGAGGGCGCTACACAAAATATTTTTTTGTGAGATAATGAAAAACTGAGTGTCAAATTTGAAAGAAAACAATATTTAAATGACAAAATCATCTTTGTTTGATTAAAATCGGTTCAGAGACGGCTGAAATATAATGATTTCTGATACTTGTGTACCACCACAAATATTAGATATTTTGAAAAATTTGAAAAAAACGTTGAAAAAAAAATAAAATAACGCCTTTTACATCGTATTTCAGCCGATGCCAATGTTAGCTTTTTTGGTGGCGTTTTCGTGTTGCTTATATTACACACAATTAGCCGGCTCATGTATTGTCATTTTTAATTAAATAATTAATTAACGGTCACCGTGTTTTTTTTAAAGTGGAGCTGAATTGTATGATCGTATTGGCTAAATTTCACATATTTTGGGGTCTAAAATTACCTTCATAGCAAGTTTAGGTTCTAAAAGGGCACTATAAATGTCATAGATAAGAATAAGAGCAATAACAATGCACTTAAAGGCATTTGCGGTCTAAAAACAGAACTTAACTATCCCTTTAACGCATGGCCTACAGGTATAAGATGGTTCCTGCATGAAGCCTAGGCAAACAAGAGAATGCAGTAGTCAAAGGGTTAAAATTAGGCTCTCAGAGATTTAATTTCATGAAATTTACAATTGTAATTCTTGAAAAAATGTAGTATCAATTCTATAATACCTGTTGATCAAAATTTATTGAATTTTAGAATAAGCTTCTTTAGACTAATACATGCTCAAGGTGCTTGCAACGTTTCAATTTCTTGTTGGAGCGATGATATAACCTGAAGTCTATGACGAAGGAAGGGAATAACCTAATATAAATTGATTTGGATTATACATGATGTATACTTCTTGGAAGACAGGATACCTATATTTGTTAAGGTCAGGTTACAAGGTAACTTAGGGTTACAGATCACCATCAGTTGGATAGTCTACAACCTACAATTACTAAGCATTAAAATCACAAGGTTAACAAGCATACATGCATGTGCATTTTTTCCTAGTATTTTAGTTTTTAAAAAAACCTATTACCACTGAACTTCATTTAAAAAAAAATTTATTTGATGGACCGTATTAACACCATTTCCTCTAGGAATAAAAATGAAATGAAATGAAAAACTTATACCTACAACGTAAAATATACTCTAAAATAAACAAATTTCTGCATATTGGCTTGTTTTGTTTTAAATTTAAGTACATATATATATATATATATATATTTATATGAATACAATGTATGTTACATTATGTCTATTTCACTTTGGCCAAGAATTATACCCCCCTTCTCCACAATGCTCTTTATGTTATATTTTTTTTTAGATTCACAGTACCGTTCTACAACTGATTATTAACAAGTATGAACACACACACATGAATGACAATCAAAAACATTTTCACATTTTATGTACTATGTGTACAAAACAGTTTCAGCCTAACTTTTTTCACAAATTCTCCAAAATATTCATCAAAGTCTGGTATTTGAGACTACCTACAGGACTCTGTCACCAGGCCTGCCAGTCATAACAGATACACTAATCATTCTAATATAACTTCCTGGAATATTATTTACCCCCCATCTTTTTCACTCTGGAAGAGATCGGATACAGATCTGGAGAGGGGCACAGTCGCAGAGATTATTATCAAACTAAAGTATCACATTTAGGTGATGATGTCATGGGGAAATTGGTAGCCTATACGGACACTGACTGCTGATGTAAACGAAGCTCTGTTTATAACTGTATTAATTACAAAAACTAGTTCTACAAAGCTTGTACTGGAAGTGCAGCAACAACAGAACTTTCCTGGAATTAATCTCGCAAAATGTCAAGCAAAAGTTGCTACACCAGAGGTGCTGACTTCTTGTTGAGCAAGTGCAAGTACAAATGCTCCCCCGAGGTGATTGCAATGGAGGTGATATTGCAACGGAGAAGATTCCTGGAATATGCCCCAGAAAAAGATATCACCCATGTGAGATGTCCTCAGTCCTGGTCAAAGTCAAAGATTCACCTCCGCCAAGTGCATCGATGACACCTCTCTGGCATCATAATGATTTCTTCTCTTGCAAATGAACCATTATTAAAATCTTCTGTTTCCTTTTTTGTTTTTTTGTTGTTTGTTTAAAAAAAATCTTAGTACATAATACACACACGATGAACACAATATGTACTTTTTACTTAAAGAATTTCTCAAGCTAATGCTCGGACCAGGGTGAGGGGAGTTAGAATTACATGTTGTCTGCTGAGAGGCTGAATGACATACTTTCTAAATGTATACTCTAGCTACGTAACAGGATAGGCCCTTCCTTTGACACTTTCCTGGGTTCTCAGTAGACATCTTTCCAAAATAAAATCAAAGCACAGATAAACAGAGCTAGGGGTTGCGCCCACTCCTCTGTGTCCTGAGCACATCACAGCAATCAAAACAAGCGGGCTCAGAGTTAACAAGTCTTGATGAGTAAGAATGACACAGATTCTAGGATTACATAGAGCGTAGGTTGTCTCCGCCGTTACAGGAACTTCCTAGAATCAGCATGTATATTCATCAGAAATCTACACTGATTTAATGTTCCTCTTAAATAATTAAATTGACAGTTTGACGGCTCTGGTGGCTGGTCTGGCCGAGGGCCTCTAATGCAAGTGTCAAGCCTCAATTTACGCTAATACTCGTTCTGAGAAATCAACAAATCAGTGTAAAAACAATTGAATCATATCAGTCGTTGAATACAGAATGGATGTGTTTTGAAGGCCCACATCATAGAGCACAAGAGAAAAACTAGCAAGGTTTGGAAAACAGCTCAATTACATATCAAAGCCATTTAATTTCTTTCTTTTAAAAGCAATGAAATATACAATAGTAAAAATATCAGCTTCCACCAATATTAAGAAAATATTGACGCATTATTCTTGATTCTGAAATAAATTAGCATCTTTAAAATTTGTATGATAACAGTTAATTCTCCACATTATCATGAAAAAGTTTCGTTTACCGTATTATATTTGAAATCTATTAGCAAACAAACATTTTACAAATTATCTTGTTATTTCAAAGTATTTTCTATTTTTACTAAATTTCAGAATATGTCCATATAAATGTGAAAACAAAAAAGTATGCCTCTGTATAGCACAGGCTTATGATAAACTAACTACATATCTCAATCATGCAATCCAACACACAGGTGTGTCTTCTGCTGAAAGCCAGAAGGTTTTTCATAACTAATTATACAGTGTTATAAGATGATGACGTGGATCCTAATCAAATGATTGGTTGAGAGCGAGCACGTGACCAGGCATTTATTTTGCCTAACACGTAATTTTGATAATGACCGGTCATTATCAAATGCTAATGACAGGTCATTAGTAAAATCATGTTATAAAACATCATTTTATAAAACAAATAAAAAATATTCTTATAAATCAAACAATGCACATCATTTTTTTCGGGCATTAGTAAAATTACACACACTTGGTACCTTTAAAGTTGATACTCTAAGCAAATAAATGTCCCTTAATTTGTTACCTACGGCAAGTATATGTTATTTTTAAGTTTTTCAATTACTTAGTATATCACAAAAAAATTCTGTCTACTCGAAATCCTCAATTGAAATGTCTAAAATATCCGCCTCTCTTTGCATAGAAAATCAGTCACGACGCTGGTCTACTATTTATGACCTCACGTCCGGGAGAGAGTATATTCACGTACCCGGATGTTCCATAGCGAACATGTGCAGAGTGATACGATTTTCTGCATATTTTTGTTTCAAAGGCTGAAAAGTCTAATAAATCATAATTCTATGTACAATTCTTTACCTTCCCCTCGTACTTCATAGTATTAATATCAATTCCCCTTTTAAAAATTATGACATATACATGCCAACGATGTGCTATTAGTCGATATTTTCACCATGTAATTTTTGTTTTGGTGTTGAAATCGGCCCAGGCACGGAGTGAACAGTAGCTGTCTACCCATGCACAGTTCATTACCATACACTACAGCGATCTCCCGATGGTTTCTTCTTCCTTTTTCCCATGTCTTTCGCCTTCCTTGGCCCTGAAGATCCTTCATCTACCAATTCTGACACCGGTAGTCAGGAGCAAGTCTTTGTTAGTTGTTTTTCTTAGCTGGCAACGTCGCTTTCATTCTCTTGCAATTAATTGCCGATAAACATATAACTAGCGCACGTACGTTCCATCACAAGCAA